CAGAAAACGTAGACTCTTGCGTTTCGAAGCGAAAATAGCCTCAAGCAGAACGCACTTACAATCTACGTCAGTACGTGTTCTCTCATCGGGAATACTTGTCGGCTTGTGTTTTTTTTTTAATTTTAATTAAGGAAAATCGACGAAATTTGTTTTAATATTCTTGTATGTAAATTATATTTACACAGAACATAATATATAATATAATATAATAAAATAATCGTAATTCTTTTTCCAGCTTCGCTCACTCGTTTTCAATTTCGCGCAAAAGGAATTGGCGCCTAAAGCCGCCGAGATTGACAAAAAAAATAATTTCGATGAATTGAGGGTAAGAAAAAAAACTCTCTTGCATGAAAAATTAAGAAAATCTAAATAATAATTAATAAATCGCAAATTGCAACATGCGCAAATTAAATTTTATGTAAAATCGAAAATCTCTCTACTAATTTTATACTCTAATACTCTAATTATTTAAAAATGATACGAATGTAGGCATTCTGGAGAGAGTTGGGGAAATTGGGCTTCTTGGGCATCACGGTGAAACCGGAGTACGGCGGTACAGGCGGCACGTATCTCGATCACGTAATTATTTTGGAAGAATTGAGTAGAGTATCGGCTGCTATTGGACTCAGTTATGGTGCGCATTCGAATCTTTGCGTTAATCAAATTCACAGAAACGGCACGGAGGAACAGAAGCACAAATACTTGCCTAAGGTAAAACTCATTTCGATACAAAGCGTGTGTATATGCATGTGAATGTTGTATAATATTATAAAAAAATAATTTTTACGTAAAAGATATTTCGGTATATATATAAATATCCTGGTAATATAAATAAATTTTGCAAAAATATAATTATATAATTAACAGAAAAATTTTATAAAAATTATTACAAATGAAAGCTCTAACGCGAATCAAGAAGTGTGCCAATATCTTTATCTGTAGAATTAGACTCGCGTCGATTTAGCTCACGCACAATTATATGATCAATAATATAAATATATCATTGGTATATTCATATATTATTTGATATATTTATATATTATTAAATATTGCGTGAAATTTTTCAGCTATGCAGCGGTGAGCATATTGGCGCGTTGGCGATGTCGGAACCGGGGTCCGGATCCGATGTGACCTCTATGAAACTACGAGCTGAGAAGAAAAGCGATTATTATGTGCTGAACGGCAATAAATTTTGGATCACCAATGGCCCGGACGCGGACACCTTGATCGTCTACGCGAAAACCAACCCGAATGCGGACAAACCGCAACACGGTATCACCGCTTTCATTGTCGAAAGTGCTACAGAAGGATTTAGTACGGCGCAAAAGTTGGACAAGCTAGGAATGCGCGGTTCCAACACATGCGAATTGATTTTCGAGGATTGTAAAATTCCGGGTAAGTAGGAGTTCGAGCGAGAGATGCGAGATGTGGATATAGATATTTTAATGATACACAATATATCATTATATTATGTTATCGATTATCGTTGTGAAAATTACAGCCGCCAACGTTCTAGGAGAAGTTAATAAGGGCGTTTACGTGCTCCTCAGCGGATTGGATTTAGAACGATTAATATTGGCCGCTGGACCTGTAGGGTAAGTATTTAAAAAATGATGAAAGATATAATACAAAATTTGGCTTAAAAATCTACTTCTCGTTTTTTTCACGAGTACTTTGCATATTAAAGTATGTAGACTTTGAAATAGTTATTGGATGCATTTTTTATAATCGGTAAAATAAGAATTATATTTTTTAATATTTGATATGCGAATTGTGTATACTTATATAACGTATATACATATAGAATGTATGTATATTTCACAAAAAAGGGTATGGCAGATCTTGGGAATTTTATCATTAAAAACTTATTTTTACGTTTTGAGGCTATTAATAGATAAATGTTTACACTTTTATTTTGATCATAAACAAGTGTTTATCAGAAGATATGCAATAAGAATGCAACTTCTAGAATTCTACAAGCTTCTTGCGACATCGCTTTTGAATACGCTCATTCGAGAAAGCAATTCGATCAGTATCTCGCACAATTTCAATTGATACAGGTAAGATCACTCGCTCTATCTTTGTTAAGAAAATTATTACAATCCTAATTAATATTATTTGGCACCATAATCATGCTTCAGGCAAAGATTGCGGACATGTATATGACTTTAACCGCGAGCAGGACTTACTTGTACTCTGTCGCGAGATCTTGCGACGCTGGTCACACAAATCGTAAGGATTGCGCCGCAGTGTTGTTATTTTGTACCGAGAATGCTGTGAAAGCAACCATGAATGCCATGCAGATACTTGGTAAATCATTTAACAAATGCAAAAAAAAAACAGTAAAAGCTATGAAACTAGATTTTGTGCTAAAAATAAGTATAAAAAATAGAAATTTTTCAATGTTTAATAAAATTTAGTTAGGTCGATATATTTACTTATCTTCTTATTTTTTTTACTCGTTTGACAGGCGGTAATGGATACATCAATGATTATGTGACGGGGAGATTATTACGAGACGCAAAGCTTTACGATATCGGTGGGGGTACCAATGAAATACGACGATTGGTCATCAGCCGTGCGATCACTCAGGAATACTTGTGAAACAAAGAAATCTGCATTCCGATTTAGATTTTATAATTATTTATAGATATATATAGCAATGCCGAATTGTTCACGCAATATTCGCACTGTGACATTCATATTCACAGACAACTTGAGTTATTTACAATGATCACAACAATCCTTCTTAGGGAATTTCTTTAGAATAGACATGCTATTATTTTTGTACATTATTATTTTTTATCTACATAATATTTTATGTTTTAATGTTTTTTTCTATTTTATAATAAAAAAATATATATATATATATGCTGCATATGTCAATAATTGCCATAAATTCATAGAATACGAAATTATTTGAGAGAATAAGATCTCTTAGATCTTTTTTACATCCGCAGCATATAATTAGTCGGTGATTCATAATGAATTGTCGCTAATTCCCAATGTCGCGCATTTCGGCGATATGTCCTAATGATCGTATAAATTAAGATAAAGTGAGTCACTAGAACGAAGCGATTAACTAACCTTTCGCGCTATAGGTTGCTAATTTAAGTCGTATAACGCGTATACGCGCGTTCTCTTCTCTTTTCCTCTCTCATTCTTTCTTTCTTTCTTCCATCTCCGGATCTAGTCTTCGTTAATCACAGCCAAATTAATTACATCGGACCGATCCGCACAGGGGAGAAGTTCCTCGCCGTCCGTGAACGTTGCATGGCGGAAGAGAAGCGCGGGTGTCTCATCAGGAATAAGCAAGGAAAAAGTGACAGGATAGGACAGACAGATTTTAGCGAATCGAGGATGGCTCTTAAGTTCTCCATAGGCCACTATTACGAGACCTATGTGAGTACGATCCGGAAAAAGTCGTTCCTTACGCCTTTCAATTTTCTTGTAAATTACAGTTCAGTACAGATTATACATCTGTCTTTAAAGTTTTTCATCTTTATCAATTTTTAATGACATATTTTTTCCGGCAGGTTTAAGTCTTGTTTCACGAGAAATTCGATGAAAAAACTTTTTAGTTCCCCTTTTAACTTTTTAATACATATATTAAAAAATTTAAAATTACCATTTTAATTAAAATAATAACATTTCAAATTGAATTAAATTTTGAAGTTTCTAATTTCGAATTAAGTATCGAAACGTGTTTCGGATTGTGACATATGATTCATCATAGAAATTTTTATCCTGTCTCTCCCCGATATTTAGCGTTCATTATTTCATATGCGCGTATGAATCCTATTGTCTTATATTACATTGTATTTCAGTTTCCGCAAACTATCAGATAAAATATGATATAATACCGTGCAATTTTATTTGCATATCATTGCAGAATTAAAGCTATTTTTTCTGTCCTATAGTTCTTTTTTGAACTCAACAAGCTGGCATCTGTTTACAAATCACTGGAAAATCGTATATAAGCTGAGCAAGCTAATCTCTGTTAAAAATCAAGATCATCATCAATTAAACAAGAAATAAATTTTTTAATCGCAAAATTCTTCCGAAAATTTTTTTCGATCGACAGATTTTTTCTTGTTAAAATTTATGTTTCTACACTTTTATCTTTTAAACATTGTAAGAGATTGACATTTCCAGAAAACAGGAAAATAAGAATGTGATAAAAACGGGACTTCTTCATTAGTTCAGATTCTCTCTCATCTATATCTTCAAGGATTCTTCTCGCAATGTTTTTCGCGGATAGTTGATATCGCGCGATATTGCGTCTCTCCTAAAAGCCTCGAGACTGTAATGTATTTACGCACGCACGCATGCACGCACGCACACAATGGATGCCAAAGAAATGAGTGCAAGTTGGACCATTAGAACAATACATTGGCGCAGTATGCCAACTCGAAATGGGGCCAGAATAGCAAAGAGACAGAAAGAAAGAGAGAGACTAACGATGGTAGTCTCTGTTTTAGAGTTAGGCAACTAAGCTCTTTCTCTCTCTCTCTTTATCTATCTTTTCCTCTCTCATGGCTCAGGGCTCTGTCAAAGTCGGCATATAGTCGGCAAGTGCTACAGCTGCAGCTACTATCTCAGTAGTAAAGCAGAGAGCGACCACGATCCGAGAGACCTATCTCGTTCCCGCCGTTTCGCGCAACGTCTTATTTTCTTCTGTAAAAATCCTTCTCCCTCTTGTGAGATTCTCTCTTCATTCTGTTCGTGTAGTGCATTTCGTGATTGATTGATTGATTATTAGGTGCTTGTTGTCGTGGTGGTTGTGTTGTTATTAGTGGTGGTGGACTAACTGAACCGAGTCTAGAGCATGACGAGAAAGCACACGGTGATCGTAAAGCTCAAGAGATCCGGCACAGGCAGGCCTTGGGGCATAAGGATCGCTGGAGGCGCCGATTTGGACACGCCGATCGTCGTCACCCGCGTGAGTTTTCTTCTTGATTTAATTCCGATTTCTTCTTGTCTTTTATTAATTTTCGGATGAAATTGATAGTCAGAATAGCAAGCTGCCGAAATGCACTTATTTCCAAATGTACTCCAATATCGGATTTAGACTCGTTGTGGCTCCAAGATTTAAAAGAATAATTGTGATCTTTTAAAGAAACGACAACACACAAACACAAAGTAATAAAAGAGGAAGAAATGTGTATGTTCAATAAAGAAAACAATAAAAAACAATTCATTTTTGAACTATTTAAGTAAAAAAGTGAGTTATATTCTATTATTGTCGTCGACATCTGACAGTTGATTAATATATTAATTATAATTGATTAATATATTAATATATTAATGACAATCAAGAAATATATAAAAATTATTTAATTTGATTTTATATTAATTATTTACTTGTTATAATATTTAAAAGGTATTCTTAACGTAAATATCCTAGTCCTAAACCATGTTTGAGCGAATTAGAGTAACGAATCCAAGATACAACGGGTGCGTTGATAAAAAAATATATATTACATATTCTTTTTTTATATCATTTTTATATTGTGCAAAAAATTTGATAATATACCGAGGGGTGGAGTTTATCTATTGCCGGATAATAATTTTTATATGGCAGAATGAGTTGTCTTCCGTTAACGGTAACGGGTTTCGTGTCGGCGTCTATTTGCTTGGCTTTCGTGCTGGCATTTCCGAACCGCGGCCGAATAATGGGTGAAGAACGTAACACAATCCCGTGAACGTTTGAAATAGAGAGAAGCAGACGAGAAGGCTGCCAAGGAATTCTCAAATCAACAATCCGATCTAGCGATCGCTAACATTGATACACGATACGTGATGCACTGCGTATCGATGCATTTCGTTCGCTCGCGCGAAGCACGACCCAACGGGATTCCCAACAAGATGCAAAGCATCTTTTTGCATATTTAAATTTAAACATAAATATGCAATATTGGATAAAACTAAGAAATGTACAGCTCATAGTTTTCCAATTTTTATTTAATTCTCTAACTTTTGTTTTATCTTTTATTCGTTTAATTTTTATTTTTCTCAAATAAACCAATTAATTTGAGATATTACTTATTATAAAATGTGAATTTTCTCTCCCGTAATTTGTCTTATTCTTAATAACATATTCAATATCTTCCTTATATTTAGCTTTACTGTTTAGCAGAGTTTCTTAATGCATATTAATTTTTCTTTATAAGAATGCATCTATTATTGAATTAGTTATTAATTTATCTCAGCGAATGAAACAATAAAATTATGATGTAAATAATTTTTTATTTGATTTAGTCTACATGCTATTATATTAAACCCTATTCAGGGAATATCCTACAGTTTCCGAAAAGTAAATTTTTAAGATTTTTAATTTTTATCACATATTTTCGGTGTTTAAAATTTTTGGGTCATTTCTGATTATTTTTTAATAACCATATAATAATTTTTGCAAATTATGATAATAATAACAATAATTGTTGTTGCTAACAATATCGAATCGATATTTCTGTTTGCAGTCGGAGAACGAGGCGCTCCAGAGGGGTGATGTGATCAAGAAAATCGACGATTATGATACGCGCGACATGAGGCATGTAGACGCACAGAACCTTCTCCAAAACTCCGAAACCATAAAGCTAGTCGTCGAAAGGTCTGAGTCGTCGAGAGCCACGACATCATCACGTATTACCACCGACACTACTATCACCATGTCACCATCCACAGTTTTCAAGTCGATCTTTGGCGACGGGGCTGCGGTCACTAGTCTGTCAGAATGCAATACTATCTCTATTACTACGCGTCTTTTGATTGACATTGCCGCCACAATGATATTCGTTGTTGCTATCGCGCGATATTGCATCCGCTACGCCGCTACGTTACACCGTTGCTAATTAATTCGCTTTCTCGATTAATCAGTTTCCTTTTACGCGCAAAGCACAATTGACATTTTCGGCCGTTGACCATTGAAATATATTACTTCACTATCTCTCACACCAACGATCGCCTTTAATACTTTCTCGGATAAATAAGTTTTTGAGACACTGGTTTTTCTCGAATATAATATAAAATTAAAAATTTATTTATCTTTGTATGATATTAATTTAATTTTACACATAACATGAATTTTATATATGTGTTAAATGTGTATACATATATATCATATATTTTGTTCTAGAATTCTCATCCTTACACGCTAAACTATGATCTCTAATTTTATTTGTTTTAAAAAATTGCGGTTTGCATATTTTAATCTTGCTTTTTATTATAAACTTACAGATTTATTTCTCTTTTATTCTATTAGAATTATATATTTAATTGCGTTTTATTAAAATATAATATTTATTCATTTCTCTTATACTTGAAGACGATCGTCGAAAAACTGCACAACTTTTTGTATTTTGCGACACGAATACGTTTTTTATTGTATATTATTAATATTTTTTGCAATTCTTTTACGTAGGTATAAACAGCCAAAGGAGTATCCCCAGGAATTACCGAAGAGCCCGATACCGCCGCCTTCGGTCGAGGAATATATATCGACACCGAGCCCTGACTACACTCTTCGCAGCACGATCATTTTGCCGCATGATCATCGTGATGAAATCCGCGAAGAGAGGGTTCATTTGTCACAGGTATTTCAAACATGCCCTCTTTTTATTACGAGTCATTATTCTTATTGAAATAATAAAAAGGATTTTCTCGTTTATATAAAAATGTGTATAGAAATGATTATATAAACTATATAGAAATGAGAATAATTAAATCTAAATCGGAATTCTCAATTTAATTTTACAAATAATTGCTTGTATAGAATAAGATAAAAATGGGATATAATATCGTCAAATTTTTAAATTGCTGGAAATTTTCTACATTTTAAACAAAATCTTGATTTTATTAAAAAAACTCTTATTTTTTCTGTTATTTATTGCTGGATTTGTCTAAATCAAGCTATATAAATATGGCAGATCGATAATGTTCCACAGGAATAGGAACAATTGTGTATGATCGAAAACAGAAATACATTTAGTCGCTGGAATAGGCTGAAATCAAATTTCCGCGAGCATATGTCGACAGTGTAAACTCGCTAGAAAGTTCATTGATCCACATAAAGGAATAGTCGGCTTTGTTTCATCGTGTAAATGAAAATCCGATTACGGTATTTATTTCTTTATCAGATTGAAATAGTTTGGGGAATAGAAACACGGCGTTGATATCGTCGAAAAATATTCACGTATCTCAGACCAATCCTCCGTTCCTTAGATAATCGATTTAAACAGATATCCCGCGATATACGTATTATAAAAAAATATTTTTAAATATTCAAACATTAGAGTTATTTAAAAGAACATAATTATTTTAAGGGTTATTTAAATAAAAATCATGCATTATTGCATACCAATAGGCGCCAGTGTTCGGCTGTGACTGACAGTTTCATGCGAAATTACGCAAGCGGGCAATAAAGTAGATACTAAGTATAGAAACTGTCCTGTCATAATTTCTTGTCTATCACTAAAGTCATAAATGTCTTTTTTTTATTTATTTTTGAAACTTTATTCGCGCGTTTAAGAGCGCCTAGAGAATGCCCTAAACAATTGTATAAATCAATATAACAAAACCGTTCTTGTACGCTAAGAATATATATTTGTTTTTTTTTTTTTAATAATTCAGATATGTGTAAAAAAAAATATTCTGCAGTATGTATATCATAAAATGTGAGTATACACACATATACTGCTGTTTAGAGGTAAAATTGTCATAAATAAACAATATGTATTCCGATTTCTTAAGTCTGCATCGCGGCGTCTGGCAAGCTTGAACCTGTTCCGAAATAATCCCTTCTGCACTTTGAAATCCAATAACTCATCGTTAGATCATGCTAATGGTACAGTGTGATGTGTGACAGGATATTTGTCGTGTTTAACTCGCTTGCTCCGAAACAGTTTATTTAAGCCGATGAAATTCTCTGGCCTGACATACATTATTGCAATCTATTTATCGCGTAATGGAGCGTATAAAAATTTAATACAAAGAAATCTTACAAGATAATATAAAAATTAAATCGTAATAAATATATAATTACGCGAAAACAAAATATAAAATTAAATAAATTCTCCAATTGTCAATCTAATAAATTCTCCAATTATTGAAGTATATTATAGGTATATATAATTCTAATTTTATTTAAAATAAAATTATTCGATAAAAGTTTTTTCCTCTATATATAATCTATATAGTTTCTCCATAAGGACTAATCGTTTTAAAATCAAAAATTTTTATCTCGATAGGACGGATAATATTGCAAAGTTTTAATATTTTTACGCATCATGATTAATATTTATCAAATAATTAATTCGCAAACGAATTTTTATTAGCAATTTTAACGGCGATGTCAACGATTTGTAACGCGACAATTTTGAGTCTAGATGTCGTTTACCGGAGTATTTCTCGTTCGTTTCGCAAAAACGATACCGACGAAACTTCGGAAAGAGAAGTCCTCATCTTATGAGTGTTTATTACGCGACGTCGCTAATCGCGATCGCGATTGCACTACTCGCCAGCTGCAACGATAGCGGTAACAGGATGCACCGTGCATCGCCAGCATGGCTAGCGCGAAACGGAGGTACGAAGGAGCCTTTATTCGTGGGAAGTCCGAAGTGTGAATATATTTTTGTTGGCCTGCCACGATGCCGGAAAGTACGTCGGTAGAGCCGGTTGCCACACGCTATAAATATCGCTTTTGCATCGAAACCGCCTCTGCCTGCCCCGATCCGATATACATCCCGCGGATCTAGAACGTCGTCTTCTATACTCTCACCTCCTATATTCGCTCAGTGGCGGATTTAATCTCGTTATAGTCTTAAGTGTGATAAAATTAATAAAAAATCTCTTCCTTTCCCGCAACACATCAGACAAAAAAATTATACGTTAAAAATATTTAAATTGAGAATAGTTTATTTGAATCTTTTCTCTTTTCCAAGATAACATAAACCTAGGCAATTCCATTTTTCATCTTCTAAAAATTCTTCTAAAAATATTTCTATTTCTCTAAAAAATTTAAGAACATATTTTTGTCTTCTTTAAAAATGTCGTGAATGTCGGAAATTTTCTCTGATCGAGAAAGAATGCATGATGCTTGAAATATTTTGTATATATTTGTATGAATATATGGTAACAAAACGAGAAAGATTGATCAGTAAATCTTAACAATAGAAATTTTTGAATATTTGAGCGACTCTCTTGTTAATTTCATCGCGAAATTTTGTTGCCAATAAAAACATTTTATGCGATTATCTTGAAGCAATAATCAATTTGTAGGAAATCTTAGAAGCTCTATGAATTATATTATATATACTCTATTTATAAATTTATCATTTTCGAAAGACAGTTCTACTTTGCGATTTCGATAACTTATCTAGTTTCTCAATCAGACAATTCGATGCTGATTGCCATCAAATCTGACATTTCTGAAAAGTATCCAAATCGTGACAGTCGAAAGACGATTTTCGAGTGTCAAGAGCTTTAAGTACATGAAAACGAAAGCGAGCGAGTGTGTTTGAGAGAGAGGTCTCCGGGAAAGAGAGAGAGAGAAGAGTTACGTGGAAAAGGCCAGAGTTAGTGCCGCCCGCGCTCGCGTCGAGCCAGTAGTGCTTAAGCGAATAATCCCGCGAGAGTCGCGAGCGAGGGACGACGTGAGCGATATTACGAGGAGTTGCCGCGCGAGAAAGGGTGACAACAGTTTCAAGGGAGAAGGGTAAGAATTGCGAGAAGGTTCTCCCGCGGGACAACTCTCTCGACGGGACGAGAAGATGCCAGCTTACACGACCGTATATCGTTACAACATCGAGCATCAGCCGAAGGAGGAGGAGGCGGCCGTTTACTGGGTACGAAAGAGGCGAGAGAAAAATGTCGATTTATTATAAAATTTATCAAGAAAGGCCAGAAATTACAGCGAAAGCGCGTGCAGGTGATCGCGATCGTGAGAGAGGCGAATCTCCCTTGCCCTTGAACGTGCACCTTCCTTGAGAACGCGGCCAAAATATGCTCGCGGATTTTGTCGCACGCGAGTGATGAATATTATATCGCAAAAATATCACTCCAATATTCAAAGAGGATATATTAACTTTTTCGTCTTCATAAAAAAAATTTTTCTCCGGCAGAATATATATAGATAAAATACACGAGTCATATTGCATTTTAGGGTAAAAATTTTATTTACGTAATGTGTCAAAACTCAGAATTCAATCTCTCTTTAATTTTTTAGAATTTTTCTTAGTTAATCTCCGATCGTTAATTATATGATTAATTAAATAGTTATATTATAGATAAAGCTACAATTTAGAAAATGATTTAGTTGATTATTCAACCGATAATATAAATTTTTATAATGTATATAAAAAGCTATACATTATATAATTTTATTTGTAAAATTTATATATATATATAAACAATTTTTCTATTACTTACTAATTATTCTTTTTTTTTGGTTTTATTTTATTAGATTTTTTCTCAGATAATTTTTAAAATATCTTCTTATTCAAATAAAAGAGTTATTATTCGTGAGTCACGCGCGCGTTTACTAGAATAATTTTATCGATCTTATAAAATTCATTGTTTTCCGTTTGAATGGCATGCGTGGGTTTGCTCACGACAACATATAAAAACTATAAAATCGTTTATATATCGCCGTGTCACCCTAAAAATATCAAAACTCGATAAAGACGCAAGCCCAACTTCACCGGCGTCACATCAAGATCGAATAATAAGATCACCAGACGATCTAGATTTCGCATCGTTTAATCTTGACACAGTATATGACAAGCATAATATGATAATATGTAACAAGCAGTATATGACAAGCAAAGTGTGTCTACAGAACAATTTTGTCATCCGAGAAGAACTTAATTAATTTCGCCTAACTGTACTTGGAAATATATCGAAAAAGAGCGCGATGATTTCGCGATTGGTCAGAATTATCGGGATGAAAGAACGAAATTGCGTGAACGCTTATGCGATGTACATTAATAACGCGCGATGCAATAAAACGCACGTAGGCATCGCAGATGCCGTTCATCGGTATCGCGTTCTATTTTCGTGAACGGGATCTGGGTTACTCGCAAACATGAGAGGCCGTCATATGTACAAAGACTCACCCACGTCTCGAGTTTTTCGAACGCGCCTTTTGTCCGAAAAATCTAGGAAGCGATTAGGGAAAAAGAGCGATGTCCCGAACGTGACGTTTAGGCCAATTAGCGGTTGATCAACACATTAAATTAAAGATAACTTTTGAAATTTTATTGAACAACATTCTAGCGAGGAATTATACGATTATTTTTGGATATATGAGTAAGCAGCGATAAAATTTATGCAAGACGCATATCATATATTACAATAAGAAGGTTTATCACTTTGTTGTTTCTTCTGATAGGAAATTAAACATTTGAAAATTGACGAGACTTGAAAAGACGACTTTAATATAAACTTAATCTTCGTGTGAAAAATTGATTAAATTAGAATTTACTGGTCACGAAATTTGTTAACTTCATTAGAATTTTTTGTTTTTAGTTTGCGGTTAATGAAACTGTGGAACGTCTGTTTGTTAGTGTGTCTCTTGTCAACCTATTCCAATCGGTTTTCAAAGAGTTCAAGTTTCATCTCGCCTCCGCCAAGCAATAAACACTCTGCGAAACAGTTGTTTTGCACCGTCTGAATATAGTTCGTGGGGGACCTTTTACAAAATGAAGCACGAGCGTGCACGATGCTTGAAAAAATTTTATAAGAAAAGAAAAAAAGAATCTTAAGATAAACAAGAATTTTGACGAGAACAACGAGATAAACCAATGATACACCAGGCCAAAAAATTCAATTAATGATTCTTCTATAATTTTTGAAAGGGAATTCAGTGGGACGGAATGATAACATTTTTTATCGGTTGATTAATATTCTTTGATCGAATCAGTCTCCTCAAGATTTACTTTAAATATTTTTACGATACAGATTAAAATATAATACATCAAATCGTACGTCGTCGAGATAAAATGGAAATAAGATGCCCTTTGGCCTTACTCGATCTGTTGCTCCCTTTTCAGTGACCTTGTCGACGCTTTAATGAGAGGCATTTCTCATCCGTTCATTCCCGGACGAGAAACGTTTCCTGGTTAAAAATCGCGGATGAAAGGAAGCGAGTAAGAAAGATAGAGAGAGAGAAAGAGAGGTTCTCTGGTGTAACGCGATTCGGGGTGTTATTTTTGCTGGCCGGGGCCTTCATCTATTTCAAGAGAATCACTAACGGCTCACCCTCCAACATAATGACGTTCCTGACCCATTTATAATGGAATCATCGTAATCGCGTGATTTCACGCCGCGAACGTGAAACGCAAAACTCGCTCGCGAACTTGCCGCGACCGCGACCGAGGTTCTAAAATTGTAAAACGTGCACTTTGCAGCATGCTCATTGTAGCGCCAATGCCGAATGGCAGTGGGCATAAAACGAGAGGTCAAACTCCTTATGAACCATATAACCATTTTACATATGTTTATATTTTATAAATGATTTTTTTTTTTTAATTTAGTAGAGGTCTCCGATTTAGTCAATTTATTTAATTTATTGTTCAATTGTCACTCTTATCTGGTAATGTGATAATTATATTTCTATAATCATATTTTTTAAGATTTCATATTTCGAGAAAAAGCTAAGCGCAAAAAATACACGTTATAGAAGAGTGACTAAATTTTAAAAATATTATATATTCAGGTTGAATAGTGTTAGAATTAGTTTAACATTTTTTTATTATACTTCGCATGTTTGAGGCGCAATAATTCTGAAGCCAACAACGCGTCGTAACGAATGAATTGCTCGTAAATCTTAAGCTGCCCTTCAAAAATGACTATTTTTGCAGAACGAGAAATAAAATGACAACTCGTTTTTCGCGAGCAAATTTCACGAAAGATTTTTTTTTTCATTTACAACTTTCTAAAAGTCGCAACAGCTGTGCCTTATTTTTTCAAATTTTCATCACACTTCGAGATTTCGCGAAACATCAACATCTGCACAACGACGGAAGATTACGAGATTCCGTTTTATGTTTATTTTCACGGATGTTTCGTCAACCCAAACTTGTAAACAGACAAAACTTGTATGACGAATCGACGATGCACGATGCAGAATCACGTAATTTCGCAATGTCGCGCAAAAACGACGGTATGTTGCCAAGCTAAGTTCGTTCGTGATACGAAAATGCTTTATGTAATTTTCTTATTGTGAGCCAGTTGGACGAAATTTTTCCTTCTTTAAAAGCAATCGGTCATCGTCGGATAATATCATTTCCGGTTCACGGCGTCGCGCCAAAAATATCGATCAATGTATTACCGCTGGTTGGAAATTATTTGCATTATGAAAAACAGAATGTTACCGTTATAATAAAATGCATTAATTATTATTTCATGACAAAGAAATTTAATAAAAAAGAACATTTTTGAAAAGAAAACTTTAATATATCATGAAAGTTTCCAAAGTAACTGATGGCATTATTTGAGTATTAATTATTTTAAAGCATCTTTCAAATGTGTATCTTAAAAATATAAAATTGTATTACTCTTTTTGCTGTAACTCGTCATTCTTCAAGTCATACCTTGGCTCATTAGTGTTACGAAACGGGATCAATTAATTTAGGATGCGATATCATCATCATCGATTTATTCTCGTCGTTGCTTGGAATTATGGCGACATAAGAAGCGTCAGAGATTATAACGAGCCATCCTAATCGCCATGGCCTCTATTGCGATTTATTTTAGATCTTGTTAGCTAATTGGCATCGCTTCGACAGAATATTATCTTATAATTTCTGCCATTAACTATCCCATTACTCATATAGTTACCGGCATATTTTAACAATGTTAATTGATAATAGCGAAATATCAATCTTGTAAAAAATTATAAAGATGAGAGATATATTATATATATTAATAATATGAGAAAAATATATTATATGTATTAATAATACTAAGATAAAATAATGTAATAAAATAATGAAATATTGCAGTGACGAAATTGTAATTATGATTTGTTTTCTAGCCCTACCGCACGACTCCTTTGGTCTTGCCAGGTGCTAAGGTCAAGAAGGATGCCCCTCTCGGCGAATGCTACCTGCGACATCATCCAAATCCGATGATTAGGGCGGCGCCCCATCATTACGAGCCGGCTCACCCTGAAGTCGCTATGAAGCAAAAGGTAATGCTCCAAAGAGTCATCCTCCGTTATATCTTTCTATTTCGACGACATAATCGGAAATAAGTTCGTTTTTTAGAGACGCGTTTTTGTCGAATCGGGATCAGTCGCGTGTATAATCGGTCCTTTTAAATTGTATCTCTCATTAAACGTCGTCTGAGCAGGTGGCGGAAACGGTACTTCAGCGTGTCAACGGACCGAATGAAGTTCCAAAGGTTTGGATCACTTCCGTTTTGCTTTCTTTCGTAAGCCGCTTCCGCTTTGAGAAACGACGCTTACGCTCTTTGGATATCCGATATATCCGCAAGGAACTTGAGTTTGCGGAAGTTTCATTTTACAAGAACCCTATTATTACGATTTTCTGTTATAACTAATAATAACTAATAATAATGATATATATGATATTAATGCGATTATTGCAGGATTATTAGATTAATACAGAATATCCTGAATTCTATCGTCTGTAATTCTATAATCCGAAATAATACTGATATATCGATTTTATTACAGATCGATATAACTTGCACTATCTCCCATTTATGAAATCACTAAAATAACTTAACCGAATTTATTTCAATGATTAAATTAAATTAAATTTAAATTAATGTAATATATAAAAAAAGTTTTAAATTATAAATTTAATTATTTTAAAGTAAACCCCTATAGCTTGAATAATATTTATTTAATATTGTTTTGATTATTGACTGTTACTAATATGATTCAAAATATAATTTTGATGGAACCGGCTAAAAATACGTGGACATAACGAAACGATTACGGATGCTGATTAGTTACATTACGAGATATTATTTGTAACAATATTACTTTATAAATTAAATATGTGAATCATTTAGTATCGCGAATTTCCGACGCAAAACGGACCCTTGGCAGTGGCTAAACATTTATTGTGTCCACTGCCAACTAACGTTACAGTTATTTCTTGCAACGCTATATCGTCATAATATAATATCACAGTCACAAGTGACACAACTAGACGACAGATCGTAATAATAATACACTTTCAGTGAACATTTGGCATAATAATGCATTATTAATATACTCTGCTTATATTGTACAAAATTTTCAAAATATTCATGTATTTTAAAAAAAATTTTAGTTATATTCTAAAAATAAATGTTCAAATAAAAAAGAAAGTTGAATAAAATCTTATTTATGCTTTTACTTACAAAATAATAGCGCGGTCGTTTTGATATCAAACCATAGGAATATTTTTTTTTTAGTTTTATGCGGTATGATAATACGGCAAATTGTACTGTGCAATTATCATAAACGCGAAAAATTTCGCTCTTTTAGATTGTCCATAAGCAATTCAACTCGCCGATTGGGCTTTATTCGGAACAAAACATTGCGGACACCATCAAGTGCCAAGCGTCTGTCGTACCGTAAGTAGACAATCATTATTTATGATTGCCCACTAAGATCTCCTAACTAGCATTTTTTTTAACTATTTAAACCGAATTAAATAAATATATATATTTAACGAATCGCTAATACACCGTAAAGCTTGCAGCAGTCACAGGGTAATACAATTAATAAAAGATTGGCTTTTCCGCTGAATGCCGCTCGTACATTTTCACAGATCATTGTCATATAATAAAAATTACAAAAAATCCGATTTCTCATCTTTTGTATTGAAATTAACAGATTTACACGATTCATGGCGTCGTAAAAGATGGGTGAAAGAAGTTGATATGAATTTACTCTCGAAAATATCTTCAAAACCAGAGTTTGATTTGAAATTTTTAAAGAGATTGATCGAAATTTTTAAATAGCAGAAAAATATATAATTTTCATGTATATGTATTAATTTTTATCAATTTCTATTCATTAATTTTTTATATAGCCATATATATAATTAAATATATTGCTTACGAAAAAACGTTGGTCATTTTCAGATATAATGCTCTGAGATTCTAGAGATTTACGAAATGTGAACGAGAAAAAAACATCTTTTTTTTGATATTTTTACGAACACTAATTCGGAAAAAATCATCAATTGGAGAATTAAATCGGACTTACTTCGTTCGAGATTGCGCGGTCGTCGGTCTTCCATCGTTCAAAAGTGAAAGGACATTCTGGCTCCTTTCTTTTTCCTATAGGGCTCTCGGATTCTCCTGATAATTGATTACTTACGTAGCGGTTTGTTTGTTTTCCAGCATTTTCATAGACTTTTCCTTCCTGAAACAGAAACAGGAAATACAGGAGCAAGCGAAAATCTTGAAGGAGCAGGCCAAGGCCGCCTCCTCGAAGAATGTCTGGCCGCAATTCAATAAGCCAAATTAAAAATTGTCGAGAGACGTTCGAGACGTTTTCCGATGCTTCTCACACGTCGGATCTACGACCGCAAAGTTTTCTGATTTTCACATGTAATTCATTGGGCACGTTTCTTTGTTTTACTAAAGTATACAGTTTAATATAATTAAACTGTATAAGTTTAATTATATATATATATATATACACGCGGATTATTAAATAAATTATTTCTAAATTATTTAAGAAATTTATCATAAGGGGTTTTAATGAGAAAAATTAATAATTGATTAATAGAAAATAATAAATATATATAGGAATAGAAAGAATAAAAATTGGAAATAAAATTTAAAAAAAATAGGAAAATAATTAAAGTAGAAAATTGTTTTTAGAAAAATATTCTAAGTATTCATTAAATTTACAGTTTGATATTTCATAATACTGTCCGTCCGTAAATTATTTGATCATTTGTTTTAAACGGCATGTATTTTTTTACGGATAATAATAATATTTTGTTTGATTATAATATGAATAATTACTTTAATTAATTTTATTGCGACATGGTGAACGTGGCCACTGAGTTCCAATTCCTTGAAACAAATGTGCGATTGTTATATCAAATTAGCTTGCCGTTCATATTGCATAGTAAAAGTTGTAGGCGCGTTATTTAGACGAAATTGAGAATTTCGCGCTGCTTTCGCGAATCCGCGCAAAAAGCTTTTTCTTTAGCGATAGTGAATAAACTTTTGCATGCGGTAGAGTAGTGAATAATAATCAATACAATAGTTAAAAAAACACGTGAGAATATTTACTAACTTAGATGAGTGTTCGAATGCATGCATCGTAGATACCGTGCACGAATAGCTCGAGACGACTTTCGAAAATTACGCTTTTGAAAATATACTTTTTAAACATCATTTTAAATGATATTTTGTGGCCGTAGAAGATTTAATATTAAAAATTAAGACAGTCTGAAAATCTTCATACCACCTTTTTTTCTCAATATGTTATTTTATTTTTTATCCTATGCGTGTGTATTAGAGAATCGAGTGTCAGAAAATAAGTTTTTCAGAAATCTGTTTTTTTTTTTAGGATTTCGTCGGATCTTGACATCGAATAATAAGATCACCAGACGATCTAGATTTCGCATCGTTTAATCTTGACACAGTATATGACAAGCATAATATGATAATATGTAACAAGCAGTATATGACAAGCAAAGTGTGTCTACAGAACAATTTTGTCATCCGAGAAGAACTTAATTAATTTCGCCTAACTGTACTTGGAAATATATCGAAAAAGAGCGCGATGATTTCGCGATTGGTCAGAATTATCGGGATGAAAGAACGAAATTGCGTGAACGCTTATGCGATGTACATTAATAACGCGCGATGCAATAAAACGCACGTAGGCATCGCAGATGCCGTTCATCGGTATCGCGTTCTATTTTCGTGAACGGGATCTGGGTTACTCGCAAACATGAGAGGCCGTCATATGTACAAAGACTCACCCACGTCTCGAGTTTTTCGAACGCGCCTTTTGTCCGAAAAATCTAGGAAGCGATTAGGGAAAAAGAGCGATGTCCCGAACGTGACGTTTAGGCCAATTAGCGGTTGATCAACACATTAAATTAAAGATAACTTTTGAAATTTTATTGAACAACATTCTAGCGAGGAATTATACGATTATTTTTGGATATATGAGTAAGCAGCGATAAAATTCATGCAAGACGCATATCATATATTACAATAAGAAGGTTTATCACTTTGTTGTTTCTTCTGATAGCAAATTAAACATTTGAAAATTGACGAGACTTGAAAAGACGACTTTAATATAAACTTAATCTTCGTGTGAAAAATTGATTAAATTAGAATTTACTGGTCACGAAATTTGTTAACTTCATTAGAATTTTTTGTTTTTAGTTTGCGGTTAATGAAACTGTGGAACGTCTGTTTGTTAGTGTGTCTCTTGTCAACCTATTCCAATCGGTTTTCAAAGAGTTCAAGTTTCATCTCGCCTCCGCCAAGCAATAAACACTCTGCGAAACAGTTGTTTTGCACCGTCTGAATATAGTTCGTGGGGGACCTTTTACAAAATGAAGCACGAGCGTGCACGATGCTTGAAAAAAATTTTATAAGAAAAGAAAAAAAGAATCTTAAGATAAACAAGAATTTTGACGAGAACAACGAGATAAACCAATGATACACCAGGCCAAAAAATTCAATTAATGATTCTTCTATAATTTTTGAAAGGGAATTCAGTGGGACGGAATGATAACATTTTTTATCGGTTGATTAATATTCTTTGATCGAATCAGTCTCCTCAAGATTTACTTTAAATATTTTTACGATACAGATTAAAATATAATACATCAAATCGTACGTCGTCGAGATAAAATGGAAATAAGATGCCCTTTGGCCTTACTCGATCTGTTGCTCCCTTTTCAGTGACCTTGTCGACGCTTTAATGAGAGGCATTTCTCATCCGTTCATTCCCGGACGAGAAACGTTTCCTGGTTAAAAATCGCGGATGAAAGGAAGCGAGTAAGAAAGATAGAGAGAGAGAAAGAGAGGTTCTCTGGTGTAACGCGATTCGGGGTGTTATTTTTGCTGGCCGGGGCCTTCATCTATTTCAAGAGAATCACTAACGGCTCACCCTCCAACATAATGACGTTCCTGACCCATTTATAATGGAATCATCGTAATCGCGTGATTTCACGCCGCGAACGTGAAACGCAAAACTCGCTCGCGAACTTGCCGCGACCGCGACCGAGGTTCTAAAATTGTAAAACGTGCACTTTGCAGCATGCTCATTGTAGCGCCAATGCCGAATGGCAGTGGGCATAAAACGAGAGGTCAAACTCCTTATGAACCATATAACCATTTTACATATGTTTATATTTTATAAATGATTTTTTTTTTTTAATTTAGTAGAGGTCTCCGATTTAGTCAATTTATTTAATTTATTGTTCAATTGTCACTCTTATCTGGTAATGTGATAATTATATTTCTATAATCATATTTTTTAAGATTTCATATTTCGAGAAAAAGCTAAGCGCAAAAAATACACGTTATAGAAGAGTGACTAAATTTTAAAAATATTATATATTCAGGTTGAATAGTGTTAGAATTAGTTTAACATTTTTTTATTATACTTCGCATGTTTGAGGCGCAATAATTCTGAAGCCAACAACGCGTCGTAACGAATGAATTGCTCGTAAATCTTAAGCTGCCCTTCAAAAATGACTATTTTTGCAGAACGAGAAATAAAATGACAACTCGTTTTTCGCGAGCAAATTTCACGAAAGATTTTTTTTTTCATTTACAACTTTCTAAAAGTCGCAACAGCTGTGCCTTATTTTTTCAAATTTTCATCACACTTCGAGATTTCGCGAAACATCAACATCTGCACAACGACGGAAGATTACGAGATTCCGTTTTATGTTTATTTTCACGGATGTTTCGTCAACCCAAACTTGTAAACAGACAAAACTTGTATGACGAATCGACGATGCACGATGCAGAATCACGTAATTTCGCAATGTCGCGCAAAAACGACGGTATGTTGCCAAGCTAAGTTCGTTCGTGATACGAAAATGCTTTATGTAATTTTCTTATTGTGAGCCAGTTGGACGAAATTTTTCCTTCTTTAAAAGCAATCGGTCATCGTCGGATAATATCATTTCCGGTTCACGGCGTCGCGCCAAAAATATCGATCAATGTATTACCGCTGGTTGGAAATTATTTGCATTATGAAAAACAGAATGTTACCGTTATAATAAAATGCATTAATTATTATTTCATGACAAAGAAATTTAATAAAAAAGAACATTTTTGAAAAGAAAACTTTAATATATCATGAAAGTTTCCAAAGTAACTGATGGCATTATTTGAGTATTAATTATTTTAAAGCATCTTTCAAATGTGTATCTTAAAAATATAAAATTGTATTACTCTTTTTGCTGTAACTCGTCATTCTTCAAGTCATACCTTGGCTCATTAGTGTTACGAAACGGGATCAATTAATTTAGGATGCGATATCATCATCATCGATTTATTCTCGTCGTTGCTTGGAATTATGGCGACATAAGAAGCGTCAGAGATTATAACGAGCCATCCTAATCGCCATGGCCTCTATTGCGATTTATTTTAGATCTTGTTAGCTAATTGGCATCGCTTCGACAGAATATTATCTTATAATTTCTGCCATTAACTATCCCATTACTCATATAGTTACCGGCATATTTTAACAATGTTAATTGATAATAGCGAAATATCAATCTTGTAAAAAATTATAAAGATGAGAGATATATTATATATATTAATAATATGAGAAAAATATATTATATGTATTAATAATACTAAGATAAAATAATGTAATAAAATAATGAAATATTGCAGTGACGAAATTGTAATTATGATTTGTTTTCTAGCCCTACCGCACGACTCCTTTGGTCTTGCCAGGTGCTAAGGTCAAGAAGGATGCCCCTCTCGGCGAATGCTACCTGCGACATCATCCAAATCCGATGATTAGGGCGGCGCCCCATCATTACGAGCCGGCTCACCCTGAAGTCGCTATGAAGCAAAAGGTAATGCTCCAAAGAGTCATCCTCCGTTATATCTTTCTATTTCGACGACATAATCGGAAATAAGTTCGTTTTTTAGAGACGCGTTTTTGTCGAATCGGGATCAGTCGCGTGTATAATCGGTCCTTTTAAATTGTATCTCTCATTAAACGTCGTCTGAGCAGGTGGCGGAAACGGTACTTCAGCGTGTCAACGGACCGAATGAAGTTCCAAAGGTTTGGATCACTTCCGTTTTGCTTTCTTTCGTAAGCCGCTTCCGCTTTGAGAAACGACGCTTACGCTCTTTGGATATCCGATATATCCGCAAGGAACTTGAGTTTGCGGAAGTTTCATTTTACAAGAACCCTATTATTACGATTTTCTGTTATAACTAATAATAACTAATAATAATGATATATATGATATTAATGCGATTATTGCAGGATTATTAGATTAATACAGAATATCCTGAATTCTATCGTCTGTAATTCTATAATCCGAAATAATACTGATATATCGATTTTATTACAGATCGATATAACTTGCACTATCTCCCATTTATGAAATCACTAAAATAACTTAACCGAATTTATTTCAATGATTAAATTAAATTAAATTTAAATTAATGTAATATATAAAAAAAGTTTTAAATTATAAATTTAATTATTTTAAAGTAAACCCCTATAGCTTGAATAATATTTATTTAATATTGTTTTGATTATTGACTGTTACTAATATGATTCAAAATATAATTTTGATGGAACCGGCTAAAAATACGTGGACATAACGAAACGATTACGGATGCTGATTAGTTACATTACGAGATATTATTTGTAACAATATTACTTTATAAATTAAATATGTGAATCATTTAGTATCGCGAATTTCCGACGCAAAACGGACCCTTGGCAGTGGCTAAACATTTATTGTGTCCACTGCCAACTAACGTTACAGTTATTTCTTGCAACGCTATATCGTCATAATATAATATCACAGTCACAAGTGACACAACTAGACGACAGATCGTAATAATAATACACTTTCAGTGAACATTTGGCATAATAATGCATTATTAATATACTCTGCTTATATTGTACAAAATTTTCAAAATATTCATGTATTTTAAAAAAAATTTTAGTTATATTCTAAAAATAAATGTTCAAATAAAAAAGAAAGTTGAATAAAATCTTATTTATGCTTTTACTTACAAAATAATAGCGCGGTCGTTTTGATATCAAACCATAGGAATATTTTTTTTTTAGTTTTATGCGGTATGATAATACGGCAAATTGTACTGTGCAATTATCATAAACGCGAAAAATTTCGCTCTTTTAGATTGTCCATAAGCAATTCAACTCGCCGATTGGGCTTTATTCGGAACAAAACATTGCGGACACCATCAAGTGCCAAGCGTCTGTCGTACCGTAAGTAGACAATCATTATTTATGATTGCCCACTAAGATCTCCTAACTAGCATTTTTTTTAACTATTTAAACCGAATTAAATAAATATATATATTTAACGAATCGCTAATACACCGTAAAGCTTGCAGCAGTCACAGGGTAATACAATTAATAAAAGATTGGCTTTTCCGCTGAATGCCGCTCGTACATTTTCACAGATCATTGTCATATAATAAAAATTACAAAAAATCCGATTTCTCATCTTTTGTATTGAAATTAACAGATTTACACGATTCATGGCGTCGTAAAAGATGGGTGAAAGAAGTTGATATGAATTTACTCTCGAAAATATCTTCAAAACCAGAGTTTGATTTGAAATTTTTAAAGAGATTGATCGAAATTTTTAAATAGCAGAAAAATATATAATTTTCATGTATATGTATTAATTTTTATCAATTTCTATTCATTAATTTTTTATATAGCCATATATATAATTAAATATATTGCTTACGAAAAAACGTTGGTCATTTTCAGATATAATGCTCTGAGATTCTAGAGATTTACGAAATGTGAACGAGAAAAAAACATCTTTTTTTTGATATTTTTACGAACACTAATTCGGAAAAAATCATCAATTGGAGAATTAAATCGGACTTACTTCGTTCGAGATTGCGCGGTCGTCGGTCTTCCATCGTTCAAAAGTGAAAGGACATTCTGGCTCCTTTCTTTTTCCTATAGGGCTCTCGGATTCTCCTGATAATTGATTACTTACGTAGCGGTTTGTTTGTTTTCCAGCATTTTCATAGACTTTTCCTTCCTGAAACAGAAACAGGAAATACAGGAGCAAGCGCAAATCTTGAAGGAGCAGGCCAAGGCCGCCTCCTCGAAGAACGTCTGGCCGCAATTCAATAAGCCAAATTAAAAATTGTCGAGAGACGTTCGAGACGTTTTCCGATGCTTCTCACACGTCGGATCTACGACCGCAAAGTTTTCTGATTTTCACATGTAATTCATTGGGCACGTTTCTTTGTTTTACTAAAGTATACAGTTTAATATAATTAAACTGTATAAGTTTAATTATATATATATACACGCGGATTATTAAATAAATTATTTCTAAATTATTTAAGAAATTTATCATAAGGGGTTTTAATGAGAAAAATTAATAATTGATTAATAGAAAATAATAAATATATATAGGAATAGAAAGAATAAAAATTGGAAATAAAATTTAAAAAAAATAGGAAAATAATTAAAGTAGAAAATTGTTTTTAGAAAAATATTCTAAGTATTCATTAAATTTACAGTTTGATATTTCATAATACTGTCCGTCCGTAAATTATTTGATCATTTGTTTTAAACGGCATGTATTTTTTTACGGATAATAATAATATTTTGTTTGATTATAATATGAATAATTACTTTAATTAATTTTATTGCGACATGGTGAACGTGGCCACTGAGTTCCAATTCCTTGAAACAAATGTGCGATTGTTATATCAAATTAGCTTGCCGTTCATATTGCATAGTAAAAGTTGTAGGCGCGTTATTTAGACGAAATTGAGAATTTCGCGCTGCTTTCGCGAATCCGCGCAAAAAGCTTTTTCTTTAGCGATAGTGAATAAACTTTTGCATGCGGTAGAGTAGTGAATAATAATCAATACAATAGTTAAAAAAACACGTGAGAATATTTACTAACTTAGATGAGTGTTCGAATGCATGCATCGTAGATACCGTGCACGAATAGCTCGAGACGACTTTCGAAAATTACGCTTTTGAAAATATACTTTTTAAACATCATTTTAAATGATATTTTGTGGCCGTAGAAGATTTAATATTAAAAATTAAGACAGTCTGAAAATCTTCATACCACCTTTTTTTCTCAATATGTTATTTTATTTTTTATCCTATGCGTGTGTATTAGAGAATCGAGTGTCAGAAAATAAGTTTTTCAGAAATCTGTTTTTTTTTTTAGGATTTCGTCGGATCTTGACAATAAAAAAAAATATCCTTTTTTCTTAATCTATCTTTTTTAAATATTTTTTTCGACGAGAAGCGTAATTTTCAAAATGTCCGACAAACGCGTTCTTCCTGATCGGATATGTACATAGAATTTGCACGATGAATTATCGCTTTCTCTCGATTGAACTCGACTGGAGGACGCGTCTGAAAGTCGCTCTCGAACAAATTAAAGCAAAAATACATGAACGCATAATAGCAATTGGCAAATCGTAACCCTGGCCGCTGCTAACCGATCCAGATAAAGAGAAAGATAAAAGTCGCATGAGCGAAAGAAAGAACAAAAACAAAATTAAAAATCGTCCCTGTGTACACATGCGATACGTGCAGTCTGAAGAAGCCGATGAAGTACGATCCGAGTAAGAGCGAGGCGTACAAGGCTCTGCAGGAGGAGGAACTCGGGGACCAGGTGCAGGAGGTCAGGCAACCAGTTCGCACCGGCGTCTTCACGCCCCAGAAATCGAACAAGGTACATTCCTTTTCTTTACGCATTTTCAAGCGATACGACAAAATCATACGCCTAATCCAAAATCGATTTTTTTCTCTTCGACATCTTATTTTATAAATTCTTATTTTTGCGACATTAAATATATTTAAACGTGTTGTAAGGGATAAGAATTGTGTTAAACGATATGACATTTTTTGGACAGATATACCAGTCTCCACCGAAAAGTCCTGCATACGTGAGTATCCGCGCTTTTTCGTTTTAATTTATGATTAATTTAGGACACACAATTTTAGAGAAAATTTATCAGGCTAAAATACAATAGAACTGCATTTCTCTTTCGCATGCTATTGCATGGATTCTATGCAAGAATAATATGAAATGCTGCATAGACTATATTCTCTGAACCTTCGATTCTCTATTGTATTATTACCATTCATCTCATTAAAAAAACGCATATTATGAAATATCACTGAAAAATATTTTTTTTAACATGCCGTCTAAAACGGCTTAATCACACAGTTTTTAATTATTCACGCGTTTATCATTATTGTCATTTGCTTACCGAAAAAAATTTATTGACCATTGTCGGTCCCGTATATTTTATAACATTACCGAACACAGTCGGACGACAAAACGGCACTGGATTATATAAGTGGCTTGGCACGAGGCGCTACTTCTCTTGTGCTTCTTTCTTTTTTGTCTACCGAAGCTTCGTGCCAAACCATCTCCCAGTAATAATCGGCCGCTACATTTCACCATCGGGATTATGATAGATCCGATACACTCATCTTCTTCTCTAAATTTACAGAAAGAAAGATCTCGCATCGAATGGTTCGATTATTTAAAATATACATTATCATTACATATACATATTAAATTTAATTGTCATGTGGATCTGTCATTTAATCATCACGATTGGAGATGTAACTAATAATCTAATTTTCGGCCTCTGTTTCGTTAAGGGTGGATATAGACGTCCCTTTCCCCTCCCTTTTGTTAAGGATCTCATCAACGACTATTAAAATTTTTGCAGAAACTTGTACGTGCGTTTTCTATTACTTTTGCGTAAAGTGTTTCCGCATAGAGAAATTAATTCATAGGATAAATGTGCTATTTCACTATGCTATACTATCGGGTGTTGTTTTTTTCTTTTGTGTAAGCACTTTTGTGTTAAGTTGCTACAATCGTGCATGCCGTTTCATGAGATAAAAATCGTCTTGTCCATAGCATAAATTAAACTTTTAGCTCATTTATAACGTACATTTACAAATCAGATCGGAAACATAAAGCGACTCTGAAAATAATTCAATTTTCAGATAAACGTGCTCGACGACGAAGGCGAGAAGATTCATCAAAGTAATAGCTTCAAGAGGATCATGTACAGTGTGCTGGGACAGACCGATTATTAAAAGCCGAACTGACGCTATAAATGTACTACCATTTATTTATGTTAAATAAATCCATATTTTATTTATTGTACTACGCAATAAACGAATTACGCGTGAGAACGAATGTCGAATAAAATCTCTTTTAACTGAGATTGCGCGTGTTTAGCAATTGGATTATATTTTTTAGAGAAGCGAGCTTATTAAGTGCATATACGTTAAAGTCTATAAAAGCGCTAATTGATGAATTGCACTCGACATTCATTGCTTGCCGGATAAAACAATGCCATGTATTTTTAAGCGTAGTAATAATAGTTATCTTAAAACACGTCGTTAGTACGCGGGATTATGATAGATCCGATACACTCATCTTCTTCTCTAAATTTACAGAAAGAAAGATCTCGCATCGAATGGTTCGATTATTTAAAATATACATTATCATTACATATACATATTAAATTTAATTGTCATGTGGATCTGTCATTTAATCATCACGATTGGAGATGTAACTAATAATCTAATTTTCGGCCTCTGTTTCGTTAAGGGTGGATATAGACGTCCCTTTCCCCTCCCTTTTGTTAAGGATCTCATCAACGACTATTAAAATTTTTGCAGAAACTTGTACGTGCGTTTTCTATTACTTTTGCGTAAAGTGTTTCCGCATAGAGAAATTAATTCATAGGATAAATGTGCTATTTCACTATGCTATACTATCGGGTGTTGTTTTTTTCTTTTGTGTAAGCACTTTTGTGTTAAGTTGCTACAATCGTGCATGCCGTTTCATGAGATAAAAATCGTCTTGTCCATAGCATAAATTAAACTTTTAGCTCATTTATAACGTACATTTACAAATCAGATCGGAAACATAAAGCGACTCTGAAAATAATTCAATTTTCAGATAAACGTGCTCGACGACGAAGGCGAGAAGATTCATCAAAGTAATAGCTTCAAGAGGATCATGTACAGTGTGCTGGGACAGACCGATTATTAAAAGCCGAACTGACGCTATAAATGTACTACCATTTATTTATGTTAAATAAATCCATATTTTATTTATTGTACTACGCAATAAACGAATTACGCGTGAGAACGAATGTCGAATAAAATCTCTTTTAACTGAGATTGCGCGTGTTTAGCAATTGGATTATATTTTTTAGAGAAGCGAGCTTATTAAGTGCATATACGTTAAAGTCTATAAAAGCGCTAATTGATGAATTGCACTCGACATTCATTGCTTGCCGGATAAAACAATGCCATGTATTTTTAAGCGTAGTAATAATAGTTATCTTAAAACACGTCGTTAGTACGCGGGGCTTGCAATCTTACATATTTTACTCGAGATTAATATTTTTTTTTTGCTAGCCTGCACTAAGATAGCTTACTCTCTCCTCTCTGCATCTCGATGTATCTATTTTTTGACGATCTATTTACACACTGTATTATACTTTTAACGTTATGCACAATGAAAAATTAATTTTCACAAAATACATCTTGTCTAATTTCACCTTTTTTCCTCGAGATTAATTCAAATCGGAATCAGATCTTTCTTCCCAAGTTTAAAAACTTCTAATTAATTTCATATACAATTAATTATAATTATTGTTTAACTCATGGATGGCAAAATTTAAATAAGTATATCATACATATTATCGATCTCACATATCACGAAAAAACATGCAATAAAAGAGAAATAATTATATATTTTCTTCTAATTATTTTTCAATGAATTGTTACATGTATATCTGCAAATTGTAAGTATTACGAAGGGAGAAATATACGCATCAGATACGTGAGACAATTTAATTCAATCAGCAATAAGATGCTACAATATCGAGAGTAATATCAACGGTTTTCGTTAAACCAAATTTTTTTTTTTTTAAGTGTCAGATACTTACTTGAGGGAAATCTGTTTAACATTCAGCCATGTGTGTTCTCGTATTATCGTTATAAACACATATGATACAATGAGTAGGAACAAGTATAACTGTAGATACTGCAGCTTTCATTGGGTTGTCTAAATAATATCGTACTAAATTGTGAGATATCACATAACTATCGTTTCATATGCATCAAGCAAAATAAGATTGATTCATCTGCTGCGCATATAAACCAAATATTATGATATATACAATACTTTCTTCCAATTAATAAAGTGTATAGTGTTACTTCTTAAGATTTCTCCGTGTCTCATCTTTAAATAGTACAGATAGAAGAATATAAATACCGTGCATATGCATATCTTCGCACAGCGGACCATACGAGCCACGGATGCCCCGGCTAAATTATTATTATTAAAATTAATCCCTAGATGTGCTATTAAGTATTACTAATTTGTCTTCTACTCTCAACACTCTTTACTGAGTTGAAGTATTCGTCGATACTGTCCATGGGGTAGCACTAGAGGCTACGGATGACATATTTTTTAAGCTTAAACCAACAATAATTGAAATACTTTTCAATTAATACTTTCAGTTTAATGTCGCGTTAGTGCAATCGAAGCTGCGAGATATACAATTCGAGAATGTGCTAGTGCTACGTCATACGTCTGCATAGAAAATGCGCTGCTAAACCGCCAATTATTTAACTTTTTATAAGAATACAGTAAAGTTAATAAAAAGTTAAAGTAATTGGCAACCATCTCATGGCATAAATTATTAAAAGAAAAAAAATTGCCATGTGTCTGCTCGTAACCCTTTACCATGGACAGTTTTCTCTCCGAAGTGTACTTCAGAATAATTGCTATACATTAAAATGTACGCACTGCGTAACATTATATAAATTAATAATACTTTTCCTGTTATCTTATCGATTTCACAAAAGATTAATTCGAAATAAAATACAAATAAAGTGAAATACAGAAAATGACTGGCGCACAAATGTTTCATGTTCACATAGATTATAGATCAATCGACTAGCAAGTGTTTCACTGAGAAATATTTTTACAGATATATCTGTAAAATTAACTAAGATATATAAAAGTTCTACCGATTCCAATCACGCGCATCAAGCATATTTTCCAAACTTACATGTACAATCGAGTTTTCTATTAAGAAAAAAGTGTACAAACTTTAATATAAACATAAATAAGAGAAAGAAATGCATATACAGATGAGTTGCTCATTGCAAATCAGTAGTATAAATAGCTAAAAAATCCCTAATGTACACTAACAATCAATTAAATTGGATAGTAGTAACTGAAGGCTATCATACTTAACTTAGTTAAGTTTATACTGTCCATATATTATGCAAGTCGATGACAGAAAAACAAATTGCATTTTGGACAAACGAACGCGATACATTTGTGCGCGTGTGCAAACTTAAATGTAAGAGACACCATTACGAAGAAATTGTTTAAATGACTACGGTATAATCTCTGTCGTATGTTATGCGACGAGCAGGACACAACAATATCGTAATTGATGCATTAAGATATGAGAAAAATAAATAAATCTTCAGTTTTCTACATGTAACGCTAAAAAGGATCATTAAAAACTGAGAGAGTCGTCAAGTAGTTGCTTAAGTTCCTTGAGATGTTGCATTTTGCTGCCAGTTGCGGGTGACGCTGCTGTAGGACGTCCTGCATAGCTAAAACATTAATATTTTCATATACAGTGTCATTTCTTATGTACAATACATACTTTTAAAAAGCGATTTATAACTATTAACAATAATATTAAGTCAACGATCCCTACTGATGCAAGAATTACTTCTGATCTTTGAGAAACTCAATTAAATATTACCATAATTAATTATACACACTTATATGATTAATATAATTACATATTAATTATCTTTTAAATTATTTAAATTATATATTTTTAATATAAACATAATATTTTTAAGATATGAAGTAAAATAATTTTGTATATGGATTACATTTTCCAAACACGTGGAAACTATTCAGAATCAGTTTTTTGTTATATATGAAAACAATCATAATTTTTCATTGTTTCGTTGATGTTACCTTACTATTCTCTGCTTTGGTTCAGTAGGTTCCGTTGATTGCTCTGACACAATTGCGGGTTTTGTCGGTTTGTTTGATGAAAATAAATCAGCTAACCATCCTCGATCACTTTCACTCGTTTCTGATGTACCACTGTAACACACGGCCCAGATTCTTTATTTTATTTTCGTGAAATAGATAGAAACGAAAAAAATAGAAGTTTGCCTGTATAATATATAATAACTTATTGCGAAAGAAAGACACATATACGCATAATACTTCGAATATGTATAATAAAATTTGAAATTTTTAATATAAAATTTTGATACATCGCGATAAAATAAAACGTGGGCCGTGTGAACAAGATACAAGATACAAGGAAAAAAAAGAAACGCAACATAGTATAACACGTAGTGAACATGTAAGTGCATTCACACACATACATCTTACTTATACATTCCACAGTTGGAATTTTATTGTCGGTTTTATTATTTCGGTACTTACATTACGTTTCGCGTGCCATTAAGCGCCGTATGGAATCTCGGCTGCACGTAGGTCCAAGCGCCTTGATTCTTATGCTCCTCCTGAGACCACAACAATTCCGCATTGGGATACTTTGCAGCCTCCTTCTTGACGAGATCGTATGGGAAGGGCGAAATCTATAGAATCAAAATAAATTGATTAAAATATCTTTAAAATATTGTAATTTTTATTATTACGATTAAAGAAAATATTTGATTTTTTTGAATTTATTCCAAAAATAAACGACTGACCTGTTCCATCCTGGCGATCGCGATTTTGTCGTCTAATTGCCGTTCAGCGCGAGCTTTCTTCAGATCGTAATAAACCTTTCCAGAACAGAACAGTAGCTTCTTAACGTTATTGGGATTCTGTGCTGCCGTACCCTCCTCCGGTATCACTCTAAGGAACTGCGTGTCTTCTAACATCAAGTCAAAACTAGATTTGGCTTCCGGATGACAAAGTAGCGACTTTGGTGTCATTATGATCAACGGTTTTCTAAATGGCAGCGCGATTTGCCGTTTCAGGATGTGGAAGTAATTAGCCGGCGTGCTGCAATTGGCAACGATCCAATTGCTGTCGTGCAACTGACGCACGGCGAACTCTTCGCTTTCAGGCGGGAAGTAATCCAGATCATCGGCGGACATTTGAAGAAAACGCTCCAGACGAGCACTGGAGTGCTCGGGACCCTATGGTAGCAAAAAAAGCAAAATAAAATTGACAAATTATGAAAACAATTCAAGTTTATTCACAAGTTTGATTTCGTTTATTTACCATTCCTTCGAGACCATGAGGTTGCAACATGACCAAACCAGATTGCCTAACCCATTTGGCTTGACCGCTGCTGATAAATTGATCGATTATACATTGCGCCGTATTATTGAAATCTCCGAATTGAGCTTCCCAGCATACCAATGCATTAGGATTTGTCATAGAATAGCCCAACTCAAATCCTATGATTACGATAAAGTTTCTTTAATATACGAATCAAAATTATAGTGCAATAATTGCGTCAAATAAAAGTCTGCAGTCTTACCAAGAACGCCGAATTCGGATAAAGAGCTGTTGCACACTGTGTAAGGTGCCTGATCGGGATACAGATAGCAAAGCGGCCTGTAAGTAGCCTTGTCGACAGTCTGATGATGTAGCACGTTATGCCTATGCGAGAATGTGCCCCTCTCCACATCCTGACCTGACAAACGGACGTGAATACCTTCTTTGAGGAGAGATCCGAAAGCCATAGCTTCGCCGAGAGCCCAATCGACAGTTCTAGCCTCGATCATTTCCATGCGAGCCTTCAAAATACGCTCGATACCTGTAAAAAGTATTAACTTCAAATTAAATAACCATATTTTTTTATTATATTTAAATATAATTTTTGCTTAAACGTATTTTTATATACATCTTTCTGTATACGTTCATATAATTTTAATTTATTTCTTTTTTCCAATATCTCTTGTTATCTCATTTCATATTTTCTAACTTAGTTTTGTTTACCTTTGTGAATGACAAACTCAGCGGCATTTGGCGGTGGTGACGAGAATTTTTTGCCAATGTGTACGAGTGTATCTTCTTTGATACCAGTGGGTGAGACCTTCAACGGATCCTTTCCTTCAAAGAAACCGGACCATGGCGAGTCCAACCAATCCTTGTACTTGATGTGTGTTTCCTGTCTAGCGTTGTTATACGCTTCTTCACAAATCTTTTCGTATTTATCTTTGACATCCTACAACAGATAGAAATTTTTAGCATAAGAGCAGTCATATAAAATACATTTTATGCGTATGACTTTCGTACCTTAACTTCCTCAGGGGTAACAACACCATCATTGATGAGCGAATTGGCATATTTGTCGAGGGCTGGCGGAGTTTTCTTGATCTTGCGGTACATCAGAGGCTGTGTGAACATCGGTTCGTCGATTTCGTTGTGGCCGTTACGTCTATAGGATACCAAGTCGATTACAACATCCTTGTGGAAGGTGGCTCTCCATTCCGCCGCTACCTTGCATACATGCATTACAGCCTCCGGATCATCAGAGTTCACGTGGAAGATGGGCGCGTTCACCACTCGCGCTACGTCTGATAACAAAAAAAACACATATAAGTTTGTTTATGCTAGTTTGTAATTAAAAAATAAAACTAAAACTTCGTAAATACCAACCAGTACAATACGGAGATGATCGCGAATGCCTTGGATCCGTGGTGAATCCAATTTGATTATTCACGACAATGTGTATAGTACCATGAGTGGTGTAATCAGGCAGGTCGGATAGATGCATTGTCTCGAAGACAATTCCCTGACCGCAGAACGCTGCATCTCCATGAAGAAGAATAGACATAACCTGGAACATACATAAAATATTATTATACTCGTCAAAATGATTTTTTATCCAATAAAATTGTAAAATTGGGCCATATAATTAGATATCCAATTAATAATGTTTTATTTATTTTATATAATTAGATTTTTATTTTATTAATAATTTAATTGGTTTAAATCTCATAAGATGACAAATTTTTTAAATTTAGATCCACTTACTGATATCTAATTATATAATGTAATTTTTTTGAAAAAAAAGAAAAACGCATTTTTCAGCCTGCGTTTGTACTTTTTTATAAAAATCTTTTTGTATGTAGAAACTTGATTTATATAATAACTATTTACTTTTTTGCCTTCACCATCGCCACGGTAGAATTGCTCGGCGCGCGTTTTGCCTTGAACCACTGGATCTACAGCCTCCAAGTGCGATGGATTCGCAACCACAGCGAGACGAATGTTCTTATTCGTTACACGATTCAGACGCTCGATGTATGTACCCAAGTGATATTTCACATCACCGGAACCCTAAAAATCATTTCATCGTTAGTAGGAGTCGCAAAGAATCGCGCAGACTAAGAATGCGTTAGCGGAATACACTATCTATTACACAGCTAAGAAACATCGTTGGTTTTAATGCTTACATCATCGGCGGCTTCGAGAGCAGCAAATTGTGTAAATATTTGGCTCAATGGCTTGCGACAAACATTAGCGAGAACATTGAGACGACCACGATGAGGCATACCCATGACAATCGACTCGACTCCCAATTCCGTGGACTTGTCGATCACTTGTTTCATAGCTGGAATCAAAATTTCACAACCCTCCAGGCCGAATCTCTTCTCCGAGGACCATTTGCGCGCCAAGAACGCTTCAAATCTGCGATTCAGATAAGACGCTTACTAGACATACTTCTTAGATAATTAAAGAGATGAAAAATTAAAAACCTGAATTTCATGTTTAAACAAAAAATATATCTTGAGAAAAATGTCTTTTATAGAATATATGAATTAAATGATATTATATACATGAAAAAATAAAATATGATAAATAGAAAACAAAAAATTTGTGACTTTAGCAGAATTGGCATGAATCTGGTACTCGATTGACACCGCTGTTATTACCCGGTTGCGCGCGTCAATCTTGCTAAAATGAGTCTTTTCTCATCGTTCGTCACTTCCATGACTCCGGGTGTTTCCATCTTCTGCCTAATCCAGTTGCATTGTTCCAAAGAGTTGATGAACATGAATTCGACGCCGATGTGACCGCAGTAAGCGGCCTCGAGCCGCTTTAGGATCTCTCGTAGCGGCAACGATTTATCCTTGCCACCGATAAACGTGGTCGATGGCAATTTGAAAACGCGATCCATGTCAGACTCCTCTGTTTCAAGCATGTGCAAATAAAAAACACGCGCATTTTACATTATTCCAAAGCGCAGCATCAACAATTGAGAGTTATGTTTATAAATGTTGCAGTTCATAAATATATTACACTCATTGTCAGATATTTCTGCACATTTAAATACACTGTGCATTTGAGCAAGTTATAACGATTTCAACAATATTTGTAACTGTAGCATTTATTTTTCTCGCATACTTAATTATATAAAATAGGTAGGTCGCTTAGTATGAATAAATAAAAAATGTAATTGTATGTATAGGAAATTGTTGGAAAGTGTTAAGTGTACTTTTTTCTTACTTGTTTTGTTTAAAACTGATACTGAAAATGTGTCTTTTAAACACTCCAAGATTTTACTTTCAATCTCAATTATCTCTTGGGTACAATTTAATATTCACCCCACCCCCCCAAAAAAAAATTTCAATTTAATAAATTATATTTAAAATATATATGTCGCGCATATATATTATATATTCGTAATTTCTTTCTTTAAGAACGATACAAATCTGATATTCACACAATGTGAAATATTTGCTAACATAAAAACATGCATTATATTTTTCAGAGATAATGTAAGTGTATTATGTGTTGAGATCACAATATATGAATATATCATAATACGCGTGACAGTGCAAACAAATGCTAAACTTAAAGGGAAAATAAAGTTCTCTATTAAGAACGAAAAGTTGTAAGCTCAAATAAAGCATCAATAATTTAAATCACCATCAAAAATTAAAACAAAACAGAATAGCGTAATATAAAATATACTGTAAATAAAGAACATAATATAAAGTGCAGTGAGAGGGATACACAAAATAGAAGGAAAAGATACATATATTAGAATATTGTCAGAAATAATATACGCAACTTCAATTTGGCAGCAGAACAAGACATTCAGAAGTAAAAGAGGAACAAAATTAGTTTTTATATAGCTAAGTTTTATATAAAAAATGGATATCAAATGTGTCTATTGTATTAAAATATTTGTACTATCGAGATATCCACATGTCCCTCCTCCATTTCCTCTACAGGAAATGCTTGAGCTAATAATACCTCTTGTGTGCAAATATATTTACATAGTATAGATAAAGTACTAAAGAACCTAATCTTTATAGAGGCTTTTGATCGAAAATTCAGTCCCAAAGAAAAGATGAAATAAACCAGCACCACCCAAAATATCCTAGCGCGAGGAAAACAGCTTTACTTTAGGCTTTCCTTGGTTTGAGCAACGATTATTACATACTTTTCATTAGAACAGCTACTCGGTATTGCAATTCCTGTGAGAAAGTAGTACGTGGTCTCTTCCCTGTGGACATTATACTCAAACTCAACAATTGTATCAAATACTGATCATCTAAGAACTTTCTTCTTAACATGTATTCAGTTTACATTTGCTCGATAAGACGAATTGAAGAATAAATTTGTCACTATACCTGAATCAAGAATCTTTCTGATTATGTTAACAATTAAATATGTTGCACATTTCATCTTTCACATCTCTATTTAATATTGATATAATTAAGAGAATAGTCATGTTCGCAGGATGTGAGAATAAAAAATAAGTAAATTATTTAAAAAAGCGCTATAATAATAAGATATTGAAATATGTTGAATTCTACCAATAGAACTAATCGACAAAATAAATACATAGTGAATTAATAACACAGAGTGAAGTTTTATAAATATTTTGTGTATATAAACTACTTTAAAGAGAATAAAATGTTCATTCTTATTTATATTTAAATTAAACGTGAGAAGAAGTTACGCACAATTTTATGCAATCTGTAAATTGGATAATTAATCAAAAATATGCTTAAAGATAAAAAGTTACAATTGAGTTATTATCAAATTGTAATATTAAAATCAAATTATAATTAGTAGCCTTCGAATGCATCAAAAGACGCGTTTTCGTACAAGAATCATTTTTTTTTACATTTTACTCTTTTCTATTTACGTACAGAGTCACGTGCATTTAGGCTTACCGAATGAATAATGGGTATAGAGTAATTCTTGCGGATGCCTATCATCAAGATCAGCGCTGTTGATGCCGAGTGGATCCAATTTAGCGATATGATGGCCACGAATCTGTCAATTTAATGTCACATTCATGCGAACCAAATAATTTATTTTTGATTGTGCGTGTAATTTAATATATTCAATTAAGATATAAATTACTGTGTTTGATGTGTGTTCCATTTTCTTCAAAAAATATTCTTAGGTACATCACAGCAAAGACAGTATGTTCAATGCACACAAGCTGTTGTTATGCTTTCTAATAAAAACATAATGTCACAGTAATTAACATTCAATATGTGTATTAATATATCGAGCTATAAAATATTTTAATTTTATTTCCATTTTGTAAATGTGTTATCTGCTCCTTTTAGTTTTTCTATTAATATTTCACAATATTATTTTATGTTATGAGATAAAGGAACAACAATGAAAGTGTCTGCTCAAAACTCCCCTTATTTAATGCAATTCGCATAAAGAAAAATAATATAACAGTTAGTATACAAATTTTGGAAAGACACAGGCATGCTGGATGATAAATGTGTACAAAAGTGTTCAAAAGCAATACATATAATAATGCATACAAATTATACATGCACAAAGTTGATGGAAATTAATTCTTACCTCTGACTTGCATACTGATCAATGTACATATTTATCAATTTTTACTCTGTTATTATAAATGCAATAAATGCATAATGTTGAACTATAATATGTCAATATATTCAATAGTTTCACGTCTACATATGCACAAACCTTCAAATTGTGAACAAAGCTGATTCAATTATCAGTTATTGTAAAGAGATGGTGTATATCGTTTCTATGTTTACTAAAACGAATGTAATGTTTATGAAAACATTTTCAGTATCAGTGTATATATAAATGCGTCGTCGAGTTTTTTAAACACCTTCCTTTTGCACAATATATCTAACATTTACTTTTATATAACTCTCTCCCAGTTATATCGTTGAGAATAATCTAATTGTAGAATAATCTCAACATTAGAAAATAACAAAAATTTAGGAATATATTATTATAGATATATAAAATAATGGATTGCTGTTTCTTACTCGACTTAATCGATTTTACTTAAATATCTTAAAATGCGTTTCATATACCATATGAATAATCATTGCGCTTTAAAATTGTGTCATTTAATATGCATACTATGACATAAATAAGATTATAAACGATTTTTAAAATTATTATTTATAAAATTAAAGATTTTACGCGAATGAAAAATTTATGAGAACATAAGTAGGAATATTCTTTTTGTCAAATAAAAATAAAGTCTGTTAATATGTAAAAATGCTTATATGAAATAATAATACCATTGAATGTGCAAATTGAGAAAAGATGTCTCGATGAATGAAATTGCACAGAAAACACAAATAAAATAATCTGTAATTGGTATATGCATTTATACAACATAATATTCGAAATGAGTACAATGCGCGATTTTCATATAGCTTCGTAGCATATGGAGAGAAAAAACGCATGTTTATACATATATCATAAAAAAAAAGCCCGTGAAAAATCCTCTAGAAGAAAAGCCTTACCAAGCATGTATTGACGCAGCACTTGTTCTGGTGACCCCTTGCGAGCTGCATAATGCGTGTGTATCAAGTCTGTTTGCATAATGCCCAGTGGGTCCAGATCGGCAACTAAGTGACCTCGGGCCTACACGCCAACGAATAATCCCAAAAAAAAACCTCACATTTATATAACCATATCTATTTTTACAACTGCACCATACATAGTTATGAGAGAAAAAAAGCAATATAGCGGCTAGATACAATGGAAAAAATTGACAGACATTCCATATATATATATATAAATTTACGTGTTTTATAGCAGATTTTTATAGAATATCATATATCAAGAAATTATATATATTGTAACAATGTTTGCAGGAAAGAAAGTTAACTTTTTACATTTTCATGTAAAAGGTATGATAAACAAATTGCAATCATTATTGTAATCCTTATCAAATAATTATTATAGCTTTAATTAATCAATTAGAAATAGCATGCTGCTGTTTCTTTTTCGATAAAAATATCTAATCTCTATTCAGAGAGAGTAATAAGTCAAGATCATAATTTGAAAGATCCCCATTCAAGTTGGGAAAAACTGTAAAGATGCAAGACATGCTTAAGATTGAAGAACAAGTGAACAACTAGTAATTATACAAAATGAGGCTATTATGCAATATATTCTTATTTATCATATAATCATGTGTTGATGTAGACCATATGAGATAATCACAAATATTCGAAAATTTGGAAACATGATAGCCCCTAATAATAAACATCAATTGTACATAATATCTCATGTCCCAGGTTCATATTAATATTTATTTGGACTATACATAAAACTTATATATAAAGTCTACATAGTTTGTTTTTCTATTACATATTCTAATACATTTAAATGAAACTGAGACACAAACATTGACATATTTTGTTCAGTGTATTTCACATGCATACAAATATATTGTGTACGATACACATTAATGCATGCCATAGTCATTTCTGTAATGTATAAATAAATTACGAAAACTGATTTAGTAAAAATATATAACAGTTTTCGTTTAAAAAAATTACAAAGCTGAATTTATAAAAAACTTCTTTATTATATTTAAAAAAATATATATTGTATTTGTATATATTTATAATGGTTTAATTTATTATAATTTAGAAGCAGACTTTCAGGCTCCCGGTATCTCCCTTTTAATTTATTAAACTTGTTAAAAATTAAACATTAGAAACTAAAAGAATATTATGATTGTTTTTAGATGAAAATATAGGAGCAGAAAATATATTAACAATTCTGAGAGTATTGTTACAATATCCATATGACAAGTATTGTCATAAGTAAAAACAATATTTTTTGTTGTCATGCATTTAATGCATTAATTTATAAATCATTTTGTTACACAAGTGAATTATGTGATGAATTATGATAGCTGAAGAGAAAGTGTCGCATCTCTTGCAAACAAAATAATAAAATTGGCAATGACTAAAGATTATTATTTCACTGACATATCTATCACGGAATTGCACAGAATAAATAGGATGTCATATATGGAATATTTTATTTGCAAGTGCAACACAATCAATTTAGTTACTGAAAGTAGAATAAACAAAAGTTTGACGTCATACCTGATAAGAACGAATAATAGCTTGCACCGCTAGATGATCGTCAATAATTTTTTCGCTGACGGGCGTTTGGCCGAGTTGTGGCCCGCCACCAAAGGGCAATAAAGTTCCGAGCGGTACTTGGTTGTAACATGGAGCGAGGGATGGTGGTGCCTGATACGCTAGCCCTGGTGGAGCTCCAGCGGTGCTGTTTCGAAAGAAGGAATCCCATGACTAGGAATAAATAAAGATAAAATAAATTTGAGGAAAGTCTTTTCACAGAAAAATCTATACAACAATATATTCGAATTTACTCACTACATGCACGCTCCGCGGATCTTGCAGCCACGCGTTGTACATCCCCTCCACGTAGGAGCTCGAACTACCATTTAGGAAGGGTTCCGTTGTTACACGATTGTTACACTTGAGCGTGGAGTCGGTCGCAATTTCAGTACACTGAACAAAGATCACCTGGCTGGTCCTGGTCAACGGATGACTGCGGACCACCCAGGACGCGTATCTTTCGGGCCCGCATATTCGCGGCGCCAACGGGGCCAGCGTACTAAATACCGTCCTTGCCTTGTACATTTTCGCCTGAAATATATACATGATAAAATTTTATTCGCTTACCAGCGTACTAAATACCGTCCTTGCCTTGTACATTTTCGCCTGAAATATATACAACATGATAAAATTTTATTCGCTTGACATAAGGAAGAGATATAGATAAGCTAATGAAACTGCGTAAATGTAATCAGAGATAAGATGTATTTCAATATTTTACGGGTCATTTAAATGCCTAAAAAGTGGTTAAATATAAACAGTTGTCTATTGGCTGAAGATCGCACCTGCGTTTAGATTAAACATTTCAAAAGCTTTAGTCAATCATAAGATATTAATAAGAGTACAGACTTAAGATAAGTGTAGTGCTGTTGTATGTTAAGTCAATCTTACAAGCACGATCAGAATCTGATTTATCTGACTTTATTTGCTATATTGTATTTCCTTATCATTTTCGTTGCATCACTTAAGTTCTAGACTTTGTGCATGCCATATTCATTGATTACTGAGAAATGTGGATAAGATACATTTTGCAATTGTGTAAATAACGATTGATATATGTGTATCTAAGTATACTTATATGTTAGACAATCATATACATATATACATGTGTATTATGCATGAGCCAAATAAAGACTCGGCCAATTTATAGCTATGTTTACAGAATTCATTATGTGCACTTCGTTTTCGACATATAAAGATAACAATTCATCATAAAATGTAATATTATGTCAAATTTGAAAAACGATGATGAACCGATTAATATTCGCGTATGATTAAATAAAGATGACGCGTTATTATTGTATATTTCCCGCATAAAAGTAAAATATCACCGTCTAAAATTAAATGCGGATGAGTCACAGTTATATTATCGACATATGCAACAGTTGATATTTATATTTATTTGTTTATACCGGCAAAAACATTTTTTATATCTAACTACGTTTTAATACCTGTACTATAAATATTGAGACGTTGAAGAGAGTTCTATTTTTAAAAACTGGCCAGTTACCAGATTGTGTAACATGGTTCTAGAAAAAATAAGCGATAAACATCAGACATAGAAAGTTGCAAGGAATTTAAATATCTTATTGAGAATATGTATTCTGTACATATTTTATGTAAATATGAGAAATTTGTATATTACATTAAACGATTCTCACAGTAATCAATGTTCTTAGTGATTCACAAAATACTATCTGAAGTATTTTTCCAACAATAAAAAAAACAATGCAAAGGCTAAAAAGCGTAATAAATAGATAAAGTAATCGAAGTTTTACATTATCACGGGCTATTGAAATCCTGATAAGCCATGACAGATGTCATTCTATTTGCCAGGCACATGTATATTCATAATCTCTAAGATGATAAAAATCTTTGAAATATTGCGCTAGTCTCTTAGCAAAAAAAGCAGTAATTTTTTAGAGGAGAATTATACTCTCTATATTTTTAATATCAACAGATGTCCAGACTGACATTTAAATGGTTGTACTAAATATTTATAGGCATTCTGACAGTTCAAAATAATAAAGCATGCCAAAACTTGATAACAATACTTAATAACAGTGTCAGTCAAGATAATTGCGACATTGGAATATTTATTACTAGCTGTCAAACTTTCAATTATTAATCATTTTTATTTAATATTGCAATGAAATGATTAAACAGTGACACAGACACAATCTATAGAAAATATCTGTCTTAAAATTCTGGAGATCAAATTACAAGATTCCAACAATATTAAGACAAATAATAAGAGAAATCAAAGAAAATTCTAATACAACGCTTTCATTTATGTCAAAATAAAGTCTTGAATAATAAAAATTTTATTATAACTTAACGATTTAATTATATCACTCTTTTTCCATAACGATGGCAAAAATCATATCATTACAAAACATTCAACCTTGATTGCACTGTTGCAAGAAATGCAGAATGTCACATTTTACCTTGATTAGCTCTAAAATCTTCTAAATACCCAGTGTGTAGAAAAATGTGGATAATTAACGAATTAACACGAGTTAACACATACTTGTAATCTCACTAATATACAATAAAACGATTTCTCCGAAACGTTTCGATCGCTCGGCCTCATTTACACACATGTGATCCTACCGGACAAAATTGCGGACTTCCCCAGTCTCCTTCGTAGGAAACCTCCGCGAGACGCGAGATCGCATGGAGGTGGGTGGGAGAAGACCTGATTGCTGCTCGCTACGTCATATATAGCGAAATGCAGCGAGATACCTATGTACACTGAAAATGCGACACGTCGTGCCGTTACTTGAATGTCACATGCCGGGATGACAGGCAAGGCGGCTACAGTACACATATATCGTCGGAGATTATCGCGTGGATTACACAACCGATCCGCAATTATTCTACGTCCATTTCTGTCAATTGTATCGCGATACATTTTCCGCGCTTGAAATGAAAAGAGTATAAAAAGAGAATACACATAGAACTCTATAATGCGGCTGGAAAAAAAGAAATTTTATACCTTTTTATTTTTAGCTGCATTTTCTATAGTTAAACTCAATATATCTACCTGCCTATTTTAAATCATAAATGTATGTATGTGTGTAGAGAGAAAGAAAATCCAAAGCACGTGCATTCCAAGTGCATTCTTTAATCGCACATTTTTCTACGCTTTGAAATTCTAAAAATATATGAGGTGTACTCGCTGCATTTGTATATCTTTTTGCAAAAAGGAAAAAAAAATGGAGAGAAATGGTCGTGAAACTTAATTACGATCTTAATTGTAAACTCTGCAAATTACGAAGTTGTGGAATCGAAATGAATTGCAGAAAAATTGCAATTAAAATGACCAGACTTATGTATGTATATCGAATATTCAACGTGAAAACGTAACGCTATTTGACTCACGTGTTGGTTAAGCGGCTAGAATCTACCGGCAAAGAAAATTTCTAACGAACGGACTTGCTAATCAATCGTTAACAAGACGTTAATAAAGTGATATGACACTTACGATGGAAATGGTGACAATTTCCGATTTTTACACGAAATCTACATCTGCGTATTTGCGAGAATCTCGTCGATTTGTTGAAAGTGACGGTGGATTCGATTCGATTTCGTCATGACAGAGGCACGGCAGCAGCGCGCGCGCGCGCACGAATTGACGCACGTCGGAATTTATCGCGTTTTCTTTTTCTCTTGAGATAAGAGAATATGCCAGGGGGGCCCGAGATATATCGCGAAGTCGGCTGACTATTTTCGTCGTTTGTTGGTTTTGCACGGTCGATTTTACGTAATCGAGCGTAATAACCTGGCACGATCGCGATGTACGATGCATCGTACGAAGCAGCTGATCGGCCACGATCACGTGCGGTGCATCGTTAACGAGAATTTAATGAATCGAGATGCATCGCGATGCGAGTCCTGACAACGTCGAATTCATCACGGAAAAGCTTACCTGATGTTAACACAACGACGATCTTACACTATCCACTATTTGCAACTCGCTGCTATTGCCGTTTATAAGCGCTCTTCAAATATACAAGCATTCCCAGAAAGGCGAATCCGAGAGCGCGACCTGACGACAAAAACAGGTACGAGTTTGATATTTAATCTACATTTGGTAAAATAGAAATCTATACATTCGGTAAGATAGGACTCTACATTGGTATAATATCAGAATGTCACCGCCATGAAAAATTTCAAAGTGATTTATATTGTCGAATTATAGATGTTGAATTTGTCTGTGTAATTTTCCAAAACAAAGAAATATGTATGCTGCAACAAGAGAACGATGTAATCGTCCAACGTCCAACGTGTTAACTGTAACCTATGAATTATTTTTCGAATTTTGTACGTCTATATATGTTTTGTTTGGAAGAATAAATTATTTTTATTCGTACATAGCGTATTCTAATTTAAATTCAGAATAACACATGACAACGTGTCGGGTTCGGACGTGTTTCTGCGTGCTGCGTATGTCCTTTGTCTGGACCTTTTTTTGGACTCCCTCCTCTCATAGAGGAGTTTTACTTATATTCTACAAACCCATAAGAAACAATGGTGTATGGGCGACTAATGCCCAACCAGCCATAAAAGAAAGAAGAAAAAGAAGAAGGGTCTGTTCTTTGCAGCTGAACTGGCTGCACTGGTTCAGAGTTTATCTTTTTCTTTCCCCATTGGAAGGAAAAGGATGGGCTTTGAACTGGTGCAGCCAGTTCAGCTGTAAAGAACAGACCTTAAGCCCGTATCAGACTACGCATTGAAAATTAAAGATTGAAGATTAACTCTGTTTCGTGCCCCTTGCGTTCTCTCTCGCTCGCACGTAGCATGATGAAAGAGAGCGCTATGCTCTGTGCGAGCGAGAGAGAACGCAAGGGGCACGAAACAGAGTATGTCCTTTTCTACGTGTATCTTTACCCCCACTCCTTAAATAAAGGCAAACGCTCGGTCTAGATATACTATGTCTATGATCCCATCATACTGCCGTCATTATGCGCAATGTTACACTTATATTGGGCGCGTTCCATTTAACGACCGCAACGCTCGCGAGCATCATCTGTCTTTGTTTAACTTTCGGTGAACAACAAGGATGAAATGGGGGGGGGGGGGGGTATTTTTGCTCAGCTAGGGTTCCTCTTGTTTACACCCGGAGGATCCGCGAATCGCGTGCCGATCGTCTCGGTCAGGTCTCGGCTGTCCTCCCTTTGTCTCGTATCCCGTCTTCGTCACGATTCGCTCCGTTCTCAAACGTCGCGGAGATTTTCCCCGAAACTTTCCCGTCGACCACACACACGAGGCGGTGGCGGACGCGGACGCCCATCGCGCTCATTCGTTCTCAGAATTCGTCGCGATCGCATGGAGCAAGCATGAAGGTGACGGTAACGACGACATCGTTTTCATTCTGGCTGGACGTGAGCGAGGAATTGGAGCTGGAAAATTTCAAGGCGTTCTGCGAGATCGAGAGCGGTGTGCCGCCCCACGAGATCGTGATCGCGTCCAACAGCCTGCCGCTCATGGACGACAAGAAGTCTCTGCGCGACCATGGCATCCGTGACGGCGATGCCGTTATCTTACAGCATATGCATCAAAGCGGCAGTGATCTGCAATCCTTCAACAGAGGTGGGCAACGTTCTTAGAATCGTTCTAACGACGGTCCGTGAATAAACAATCTGAAAATTATCATAAGTCTGGACGAACACAGTCAAGGATATCTAGTATTTACTTTTATGTATCGTAACAATGATTCAGAGCTATCGTTTATCTTGTTTTCGTCGACATAAAGGCTGTAAATTGATGGTGACTCAAAAGCCGATGGTCTTTGATGTTGAAATCTTGGCCTTTGACTAGCTTAATTATATATGCATTTATCATTCTTCAGCTCTTTCTTTTTCTCTGAACGTCACCATGAAGTTTGTTTCATCGTCTTTCTCTATACTTCATGTCTTATCCCTCGTACCGTATGATGCTACTTTGCATAGCGCATATAATATCTTGCAAAAATGAACATACTAAATTTGAAGAAACGTCGCTCTAGCCATTCCATCACTGGACTTCAGTTCCATCAGAGTTCCCGAGATCAGCAACACGCGTCCACAGCCGATCGCGAATATACAAAATCCTCGCGGCGAGGACGATCCAGCGTTGATAAGAAATATGTTCCTGGCTAATCCAGATCAGCTGGCGTTGTTGAAGCAGAATAATCCCAGATTAGCCGACGCTTTGCTGTCGGGAAATCTCGGTAAGTTCAGCTTTAGTTATACAACAGCGTAACATTGTATCTTGCACCTCTGCTCTAAATATTTGTATATTATAGATAGATTGTATATTATAGATAGATTTTCGACTGTACTCAGTGAGCAGATAGCCGCTCGAGAAGAACGGCAAGCACAACGGCTGAGAATGATGAACGCGGATCCGTTTGACACAGAAGCGCAACGGCTGATCGCTGAAGAGATCAGGCAAAAGAATATCGAGGCGAATATGGAGGCGTCAATGGAGTACAATCCGGAGACCTTTGGCACCGTCGTTATGTTATATATTAACTGTAAAGTCAACGGATTTCCAGTTAAAGCATTTATTGATTCAGGTGAATCATTGGCCGTTGATTCGAGCTATTAGTAGCAAGTAGAAATGCGTCAATGCTTTGCGTGTATCTCGAGAGGCGCGTGAAAAATGTTGAGATTATTTTTAAACATCTTTGTTTCACTGCATCTCGGCGTCTGAGTAGTATATTTATTTTTAAATATGCACATTTCAAAAGAGCATTCTGCATGACATGCAGAAAAACAGTTTAATTTTAGATCTGACGACTCATGTGATTTTCATCTGTGAAAATAACACAAGAGAAAAAGATTTTGTTTTCAATTTAAATATAATCTGATGACTTCTAAAACTGTTTGCACAATGAAAGCATTGCAGAAGTAGCATTTCGCGAGATCCTGCATATTATAGTATTGAAAACATTTTTGTGACACCAGGTGCTCAAACTACTATTATGTCCGCCGCCTGTGCCGAGAGATGTCACATTATGCGTCTGGTGGACACGAGATGGGCCGGGGTCGCCAAGGGCGTCGGAGTTCAACGCATAATCGGTCGTATACACATGGTACAAATACAAATTGACAATGATCATCTTACGACGTCGTTCAGCGTCCTCTAGGAACAACCTATGGACATGTTGCTGGGCTTGGATATGCTCAAGAGACATCAATGTTGCATAGATCTGAAGAAAAATGTTTTTAAGATTGGTACTACGGGCACTGAAACTCCATTTTTGGCAGGTCTGTTTCTTCTTATTTTATATAATTAATAAAATTTGTTTTTAATGTTAATTGATGTTAAGATTCTAAACAATGTTGAAATGAGAAATATTTACATTATTTTGTTAATTATTTTATAGGTGATTTACCTGAATGTGCAAGATTAAGCGGGAACAGCGACGAATCCTTAGATGACAGGGATCTTCAACGAGCTCTCGAGGACAGTTCGAGAGACGCGAAGAAACAGAAGCAGCAGCATAGTAAGAATCAATTCAGGCTATTTTTTTATCTTCTTGTTTCTCTTTCTCTTCGTAATTAAAAAAAGAAGATATAAATAAAATAATCCTTGCATTTCTTTCTTTTATACTCTTCTGCGATGGTCTATTTTCAATATATTTTTTTACTCTTAAATAAATTAATTATGTAATTTTTTCTCCTGTCTTCTTTCTTTTGCAATTTATAGTTATATAAAAGAGAATATAGGATATATAGAGAGTCTCTTTACCGGAAGCGTACATTATTGTGTAATTTCCTTGCCATTTATATATAAAAATATAATAGAACGATAGGATCGTGCGATTATATAGATAACTTTTAGCATTAGTAATCCTTGATAATTTCAGTTAATAACTACAACTATCATTACAATCAATATACAATATACAATATCAATATACATTATCAATATATAAGGTAAGTCACTAAAAATAGAATATCTCTTTTTTAAAAACAAAAAATACGTATACAATTTAAAAACGTATACAATTTTAAGACAAAGAATTAATATATACACAGGGTTGGGAAAGTTACTTTATAAAAGTAACTCGTTACCGTTACCGTTCTTTTTTCTAAAAAGTAACTCGTTAACGTTACTCGTTACCAATTTTAAAAAGTAACTCGTTACCGTTACCGTTACTCAAAAAATAACGAGTCGTTACAATTCCCGTTAGTTTTTTTTGTATATAACAATAACTTTACATACAATTCTTTTTAAAAATTAAAGATAATGATTTATTAATTAAATTTTTGTATTAAATATATTAAATTTTTAATTATTAAAGATAGAAAATAACATAAAAAAATAACTTTTCTATAAAACTGACGCACTACCATCCGCGTCTGGCTCTTAGTCTTCCATTCTTAATTGCCCGCGAATTTTTAATGTTGTGATTTTCACTTGAGGCTCTTATTAATTTCTTAACTTATTTTTAATTATTATTATTACAAAAATAATAAGAATAATTTTTTAAGAAGGTTTTTAATCAGGTTTTCCAGGTTCGCGTCTTGGAAAAGAGATTTCGCATTTTCACTTAATGGCAACATATTTTTTGCTGGTTCTTTTCGCAAACTGAATAAAAACGGATCAGATGAGATTAATAATTGATGCAGCACGTCTTCGTTTGTAGTTAAACGACTAATTTTCCTTGAATGGTAAATTCGATACTTTTTGTAATCTTTGTTCCGAGCTTCTTGTGCTTCCTCAGATAATAAACCAATCGGAAGCACTGCTGCAGTAATAATTATTTTCGTCACGAAGAAGAACCTTGTGAACAGTTACTGGCACGTAATACCACCCATACAAGTCAACAAATATTTTTGCAGTATCATAAAAATATATGCCAAACTTTTTCGGGTCAATAGCAGCACCGCATGTAATGACTTCTAATATTACTGAGAAACGCTTAATTAAATCTTCGTTTATTCCTGTGATTTCTGCTGTTAGCTTCGGCTGGGAAAAAAAAACGGCGTGAAGTGTTGCCATCATTTGTATTTCCACAGCCTTGACGCACCATATCTATTCTAAGACCGGTTCGAGATCGAAATTCTTTCGAATTTTCTTTTTGTTCTCTTCTTTTTCAATTTTTGTTTCTTTTGTAGCTGACCATTTTTTAAAAGACAGATTATAAGCGATATGAAGAATGCATTCCATGAATTTAATACGCGCATGTAGAGGAGATAAACCGAGTTTTAAAACATTGTCTTCATAAGATTTTTGATGAATTCGATTAAGATCATTCATCTCTCGAGGAGTCGCTTTACAAATGTAACAAATTGAAGATGATTTTGTATCAGTGAGCGATTGAGCTGTTTTTCCATCAATCATTGTACATTACATGTTATATTTTACTTTGAATGTACGCCCGGGTATATTTACTATTGTCTCATACAAGTTTGAAATTTGCTCTTCTATATATGTTGCACAGTATTTTTTATCAATTCAGGTGTTTCTTTGGCGAATTCAAACTGAATTGGCCTACAAAGTCTTGGACTTGATGGGCGTGAGTTTTGCCAAAACTGTTTCATGATATTGTCGTTCGAAACTAGTTGAATCGGTACTGTAGATGCCATGTACATAAATGCATCAGATGCGTTTATTGAATCATCCAAAAATTTTTGCTTGAATTCACTTTGACCGGAAGCTCCATCACATCCCCATTTGGAAATTAGAATTAATTCCTCTTTGTCGATGTTTGCAATCTCTTTGGCGATATTTTTATATCAAAACTTTTAAACATTCTCTCAACGGTGTGATCTAATAAATTTTGAAGATCTAATTCAGCTTTCTTTTCGGTTATTTTTATTTCTTAAGGGTAACATTCCTTTTTAGCCTCTAAAACTTTCTTATAAGGAGGCAAGATATCGAAACTGTTTCTTTTTAATGTTTCTCGGATTACTTCATATTGATATTTACTCAAGTCTACATTCGTTATCATCGCTAATGTTTGATTAGTATCAATATATTCTTGTGTTATATTAGTCTCTGATACATTGGCAGCTAAATTTAATTGTTGGATGAGAAAAGTTTCACGAAGGTGCTTTACCTTATATCGGTAGTTTTGCTCGGTCATAACATTCTTCGAATGATTTTGTAGGCCTCCCTATCTTTTTCTTCGTTGGAGGTTCATTTTGGAGATCAGAGTCAACTTCTTCAAGTTGTACTGTGAGCACTCCGTTCAACCAATTTCTATTTTCTTTTTTAAATCTATCAGATTTTTTTTGACTGTTTTGCCATATTTTCTTTAACTGATATATAAAATGTCTTTGAAAATCATCAATCACTTTTTCGAAGTGATCTGTCTTCAAGTTCGCAAATTTACTTTTTAACTATATATAATATATACAAATAAAATCCGTATTTAAATAAAACTTTTATAACATATATATCAGCAAATACTGAATGCATAAATATATATCCATAAATAAACTTAATCGAACCAGCTCAATGAATCGGTAATAAAACGAAATCTTTCTCAATCAATCAATAATCAATCAAATACAAAGTGATCTGTCTTCAAGTTCGCAAATTTACTTTTTAATAATGTTTTTATTTTATCTGTATTGTAATTATTAGTCAGAATTATTTCCGGCAAATGTTCACGAGAAATCGAAAAAGTCGTCATTGTGAAATAATCTCATAAACTTAAAAAAAAAACGATATATATATAGCAAACTCTTAAAAACTAAATATAAAACTTTAAAAAATAAACAGCGCACGCAATAACAATACTTATTTTTAATAATGTTATATGAGATGAAGTAATTAAAGGAATAAAAATATTATATTTAAAGGAAATAATAAAGGAGTTATAAAGAAATTAAAAAGATTCAAACGGTGCGCCATATTAGTTACGTGATGCATTCAAGCATAACATTTCCGAATAAAAATCCGAATTTTTCTCAGTGGCGCAAATATGCGCAGTTGGATGTTGATGTTTCTTTAAATTAGAAAGATTACCTTCCAGTCTAGACAAAAAACACATTTTGGAGAGGTTTGGGTAACAAGGAAATACTTCGTCCAATTTACATTCCCTTTTTTTTAAAGAAAAGCATTCATAAAGCAATATTTATGCAAAAATATAATCAATAAGAATTTATTTCTCGTTTTCTAAGGAAGATTCAAAGTTAATTTAAATTTTTATAATAAATATAATTATGATCTATCGATTCAAAATTCAATACTACTTATCACCATATATTTTATAATAAAAATATTTACGGCTTTGCCCATTAAAAATATTAATAAAGAGAAAGATTAAAAGACAAAAATCATTCAGTATTAATATATTAGATCTTTAAACATCATTTTTATGATGAAATTAAATTAAAAATTGAAACTTTAAAAAATCAATTTTTTCCGCTTCAGCACCACTGTGCGCCGTTACCGTTACAGTTACCGAAAAAAATTAACGGTAACGGCGTTACAAGTAACTTCCCAACCCTGTATATACATACGGTAACCATACGTCCTTTATTTAAGAGGACAGTCCTTTATTTCACTGCTCTGTCCTTTAGATTTATTTTTTTAATGTATGAGGTTTTATTAATAAATTGAATTGTTTACAGGACTGATAACGGAAATTATGGCCTTAGTGGGTAAATATGCCATTTATTATTGCGTTACAAAACCAGAATTCAAATCATTTAGTTACACCTAGACTATTACCAATTTCTGGGATATTTATGAAATTGGCTCCCAATTATATTCGAGCAAATTCGAGAATGATTATTTATTTTATTTATCGATTGGACACAATAATATGAAATTTTATATTGAGACACGGGAATGTTTTATGGCATCATATTCTATTTATTTCAAGACTGATGAGAAAGATGTGATAATAGCATCAAAATCGATGCACAAGATTTTTAATAACGAACTATTATGTGAATCATCAATTCCGAGAGATTCAATGATTTTGTCAAATGGGATATTAACCATACAATTTAAATTTAATATATTTGTTAATTGGGATAACTATTATATAAATCATTCAATTTCAATTACGCCATCCCAATTAGAAAAAACAGATAGCGTTGTTCCTGAAAAATGTAACTCACTTGTTACATTTGTAATAAATGAAAAACATCTTGAAGTAAATAAAGACTTATTATGTTCATATAGTACAGTCTTTCAAGCTATGTTCCGTTCTAATTTCAAAGAAACTATAGATAATAAAATAGAAATCATTGATATAAGTTATAATACCCTAAAGAAATTATTATCCTTCTTGCAAAACGAACTTACTTTTCTGAAAATATAAAGGCAGATGCAGAAGGACTACGTGAACTGTTTATAACTGCTGAAAAATATGACATAAAAGATCTCAAATTAGTATGTGAAGAATTTTTAATATTGAATACAACAATAAAGAATGTTATAGAACATTTAACAGTAGCGTATTTAAATGCTGGAGAAATTTTAGAACAATATGCCAGAGTTTATCAAATTATATTTTGAAGATATTGAAGATAATGCAGAATTTAAAACTTTAGTGCAAAAATATCCTAAATTGTTAATTAAAATAAGAAATGTTCATTTATTGAAAAGTGACACTTATATGGATGACTTAATGGACTTAAGATGATAAGATATACAGAAATACAAGGACAGGTACGGACTGGGAATGTAATTGAAAATCTAATTATATATTGTCATATTATATGTTGTGATTATTTTAAATATATGTCATTCTTAAATTAGCACATAATTGATCCGGATTTTTATTGGTCCAAATTATAATGAGCGAATATATCCTCATGCAAATCCTCCCCTGACCTTTAAAGGAGTACATATGACACTTTTCTCCAAATTGCAAATTGAATATAAAAAATTTTTTTTTTCGATAAAATAGTAAATTGGAATAAATGTAAATAAAGCAAAGGTTAATATAACTCTAGAAGAATTAATCTGAGATATTTTATAATTTTGTAAAGTAAAAAAAAACATTTTGTTTATGTTAGAATATACAATATATCACTTGCACGTTGAGTATATTATAAGAGTTTACGTTCTATACAGTGTTGTTAGACGGGCCAGGTTTTTTCGCGCATGCGTGACATTGCGTGACGTAACGATGACGTTTCCAGTCACGTATATATGTAATGTGATGGACGCGGGCCACGGAGCATCTCAGTTTTGGCGGGATCGCAAAGGACAGGTTAAGTATACTTTATGTAAGTAAATAATTTATTATAATTTGTGCAATAATTATAAAATTTGTGCAATATGGATCCAAATGTTGCTGAAGGAGCCATTAAAAAACAAAGAGTCCGGGTATTTCAAAATTCATGGTTAGATGAAAATATTTTTAAAGGATGATTGACTCCCCATTCCGAGCCGAATAAAGCTTTTTGTAGCATTTGTAACAAAAGTATTGCGTGTTGTAAAACAAATTTAGTAGCTCACTCACAATCGGTCAAACATATGACAAAAGTAAACAGCTTAAATCAAACTGATCAAAGCCTTTCCGATGTTAATACTATTCCACATAATAACAAAGTAAAACGCGCGGAAATAAAATTAGCATCATTTTTCGCGGAACATAATATTGCTTTTGACACTGTTGATCATTTAGTCTCTTTATTAAAAGATATTTCTATTGAGCCTGAAATTGTACGAGATGTTTCATTGGGCCGACTTAAGTGCACCCAAATTGTTAAAAACATTATAGCAAAACGAGAGACAGAAAAAATTATTGAAATTTTAAAAACTCATAAATTTTCTATTTTAGTAGATGAAAGTACCGATATTACAAATACCAAATTTATGTGCGTACTTGTTCAATATGTTTCACCTAATAATAAAAAAGTAAAAATACAATTATTAGAATTATTATCGTTAGATGCCGCAAATTGTACCACGAAAAATATTTTTAAAACTTAAAACATTTTTAGAAAAAACCAAATTCCGATAAAGAATATCGTTGACCGTCTAACAACACTGGTTCTATATCATTTTTGGTTCATGGTTGTTGTGCGCGCTCTCTGTACGTGCCGTTTGGTAACTCAGTCAGTCCTTCGCGTCTTGTGTGTCTCGAGTTAGTCTGTGTATCGAGCTCTAATAAATATTTCTTTTACCACGTAACTAATATACGACTTTCATTCCTTTCACTCGCCACTGAATTCTATCAGTTTATAACGAAAAAAGTAACTTTGCTATATTTTTTGGTAATATGTAATGAATTTAGCAATTACTTTTATCGTTATTTTTTTGAACCTACTTAGTATAATTTTTATGCAAAAAACATGATCAAGAATGTTGAAATGGGACATTATATTAAAATTTGATGGAAGCTTCTTTTAGTATTTCGTTTCTTTTTTCTTTATGAGGATAAAAAATAATTAAAAGTAAAAATTAAAAATGTGGAAAAGGCAATTTTGACTTTCAAAGAAAACGAACAATAAGGAAATGTTTCCTTTTTCATTTATATATTTACACTTTTTAAAATCTTAAAATCGGGACTTTCATATGGATATAGCATATTCCTGAAACCAAATGAGGACTATTGTATTTGAATCTCTTTAAAACTACAAATATATAAGTAGTTACAAAAATATCTTACTTATACATTCCACAGTTGGAATTTTATTGTCGGTTTTATTATTTCGGTACTTACATTACGTTTCGCGTGCCATTAAGCGCCGTATGGAATCTCGGCTGCACGTAGGTCCAAGCGCCTTGATTCTTATGCTCCTCCTGAGACCACAACAATTCCGCATTGGGATACTTTGCAGCCTCCTTCTTGACAAAATCGTATGGGAAAAGCGAAATCTATAGAATCAAAATAAATTGATTAAAATATCTTCAAAATATTGTAATTTTTATTATTATGATTAAAGAAAATATTTGTGTTATCTCATTTCATATTTTCTAACTTAGTTTTGTTTACCTTTGTGAATGACAAACTCAGCGGCATTTGGCGGTGGTGACGAGAATTTTTTGCCAATGTATACGAGTGTATCTTCTTTGATACCAGTGGGCGAGACCTTCAACGAATCCTTTCCTTCGAAGAAACCGGACCATGGCGAGTCCAACCAATCCTTGTACTTGATGTGTGTTTCCTGTCTAGCGTTGTTATACGCTTCTTCACAAATCTTTTCGTATTTATCTTTGACATCCTACAACAGATAGAAATTTTTAGCATAAGAGCAGTCATATAAAATACATTTTATGCGTATGACTTTCGTACCTTAACTTCTTCGGGGGTAACAACACCATCATTGATGAGCGAATTGGCATATTTGTCGAGGGCTGGCGGAGTTTTTTGCTAATCAATCGTTAACAAGACGTTAATAAAGTGATATGACACTTACGATGGAAATAGTGACAATTTCCGATTTTTACACGAAATCTACATCTGCGTATTTGCGAGAATCTCGTCGATTTCTTGAAAGTGACGGTGGATTCGATTCGATTTCGTCATGAGACAGAGGCACGGAACTCTACATTGGTATAATATCAGAATGTCACCGCCATGAAAAATTTTGAATTGATTTATATTGTCGAATTATAGGTGTTGAATTTGTCCGTGTAATTTTCCAAAACAAAGAAATATGTATGCTGCAACAAGAGAACGATGTAATCGTCCAACGTCCAACGTGTTAACTGTAACCTATGAATTATTTTTCGAATTTTGTACGTCTATATATGTTTTGTTTGGAAGAATAAATTATTTTTATTCATACATAGCGTATTTTAATTTAAATTCAGAATAACACACACATATTAAATTTTGCTGCATCATGTGAACAAGAAATTGTGGAATTTAAAAGATCTGACATAGTCAACATGAACATTCATAATAGCAAAAGCGGAATTTTTGGTAATTGAATTAAATAATAAAATTAGTAATTAAATTAAATTAAATAATTAATTTAAATAAAAAATCTTAA